AATCAATGAAATCTCCACAACCCTATAATGAAGAAATAATTTAAGCCTGATCTAAAGAAGTTGAGTTTTTACAATATAGGTTTGATACCTAATTCATTCGGAAATGAGAATTTACAATCCTGCCAATTTTTTACCAACGTTCTCTGAAATCAAACACCACATCTTCGTAAAACTCACTAAGCAATTTTATCGCACTCAAATTAGATTTATAAAGATATGTACGATCAAATAATTGTAGTTCGTTTACAAACTACTCGATGTTTTACTTGCGAAAAATACACTTTTATAAAATTTTGAAAGCAGAAACACTGAAGAAAAAAATCAAATTATCTTAAAATATCAAATGGCTTAGGTGAATGTCTAAATTACGATTTGTCATTAAATTACTTTTAGTGAGTAACACGTGAAAATAACATACCAGTGAGTGTGGGTCAAAAAATTGTCAATTTAACCAATTCGTCATATTTTGAGAAGAGACTATGTAATTGTTTAATTTGATAAAATATACATGTGACAAAAGTTTAAACAACCAGAAAAGGTCTTTATACTCCCATTAGAATATAATAGAATATTTCATTGTATTGATTTTCAGATCCAAACAACTTGTCTGAGCTAACATATGCTTTCAGGACAGTAAGAGATATCATTTGTTTTTTCGCCTTTTCACTTACTATAATATTGGAATCCACATTTCACTGTATGTTAAAAATAGTATTTCCTCAGCCTGCAACGCAGCTGCGACTACTGTCGGTCTGAAGCCCGATTAAAGCAGAAGGCTTGGACGTGCGGTTCGCGAACACACCCCATAGAAAAACAGCTTGGTAAAACAACACTGACCAGAAAAACATTTCAAACAATGTGAACTCTGACCTGACAGTTGAAAGATTTTCACTTAGAGGAGCTATCATGTCTCATGACTGGAGCAGAGTTTCTTCAGAGGTGATGAGGCCGATGCTCCTTCTGACAATCAGAACAACCTTTAATATGAGTACATGGATTGTTTGCACGCTGTTCGAGATTGGGAGAGTAATCTCAGTTGCTGCAAAAGTGAAAACATACAACCTGGTGGTACTTGAAATCAACGAAACACACTAGACGCAGGTTGGAAAAAAAAGACGAGCTTCAGGCTAGCTGCCGTTATACTTCGTCCATGAAGAATAAAATGCCCCACATACACAAGGCGTTGCACTGGTCCTGTCCAAACAAACACAAAAGGTGCTTACTGGATGGGAATATCATGGACAGTGGATCATTAAAGCATCCTTCGAAACAAAGAGAGAGGCGATTACACTGAACGTCATCAAATGCTACGCACCTACCAACGATTATAATGAAAACGTTAAGAATCAATGGTGAGAGAGTCTGCAGTCAATCGTTTAGGAATGCCCAACAAAGGACTCGGGCATTCTGATTTGAAAACTAAATGCCATTGTTGGAAAGGACAATAGTGGATATGAAGAAATCATGGGACGACATGCATTGGGAGGAAGGATCGCAAATGATGAAAGATTTGCAAACCTATATACCTTCAACCAACTGGTCATAGGCAACACCATATTCCCACATAGATGCATGCACGTATTCACATGGACTTCTCGTGATCACACTACACGGAACCAAATCGACCATCACTCTACGGAAAACGTTCAACAGTGTGAAAATAGGGACAATACGAACGCTTTCTCAACACTACGGCGTGCCTGGGAAGATAGTCAACATCATACGAAATCATTTTGTAGGAATACACTGAGAAATCGTGCATGAAGGATAACTCACAGAATCGTTCACACTGAAGTTCGGTGACAGGTAAGGTTGCATACTCTCACACTTTCTCTTTCTCCGTATGATCAACTAGATTATGAAGACGTCAAATTCTAGTGGGAAACACGGGATACTGTGGATAGTTGAGATGCAGATGGAAGATCTAGACTTTACAGATGATCTGGCTCTTCTGTCACACACGCCATGACAAACGCAAGCGAAGACGACCAGTATAGCAACAGCCTCAGCATCAACCGGTCTCAACATACACACGGGTATGCGAAAGCGTCCAATACAACACAACATCCACCAACCAAATCACACTTGACGGTCAAGCTTCGGACAACGTTAAGTCTTTAACATATCTGGGTAGTATCATTGATGAGCGAGGTTGGTCTGATGCAGATGAGAAGGCGTGGATCGAAAAAGCAAGGGCATCATTTCTATGAATAAACAACATCTAGAACTCAAAACAACTATCAACAAACACCAAATACCAAGACAGTTCTACGATATGGAGAGGAAACGTAGAGTACTACAAAAGTCATCATCCAGAAGATCTAAGTGTTCATTACCAGTTGTCTACACAAAATACTTCGGATCCGTTGGCCATACACCACCATCAACAACCAACCTATTGTGGGAGATAACAAACTAAATTCCAGTTGAGGAATTAATCAGGAAGAAGCACTGTAAGTGGTTAAGTCGTACACAGAAGAAAGCACCGAGCTGTATCACAAGAAACCCCCCCCCACATGGGACCCAGAAGGCCAGACGAAAAGAGTTACACCAGAGACATATTACGCTGCAAATCGGGAGCAGATATGAGAAGAACGAAGAACAATTGGATAGAATAAGTAAGGAAGGCTCTGGAGAGGGTAGGTCGGAGAATGCTGGTGGGTGGCGTATCATCTTTTGGGGGTATTAGGCGTAAGTATTTACTTAACATATCCTTGATTAACCAGCAAGCCTGCTGCATGTGCACGCCGCTGCATTTTGCAATAACCCCAGCCGTATACGGGAACGCACATGTTGTCTAGATTGGTCTGCAGACAAGTGGACGTCCAAAAAGCACGCACACGAGCAGTGGCCCCTGTTTGGGCACTTATGAAACAACAGGATCCCTCCATTCAATCTACTACTCACAATCCCCAATCGTCAAGGCGGGCTTTCCCAGCAAGACCTGGCAACCCGAACGGATTACTGACCCACCTAGCAGTGCACTAACCAGCAGCCGTTCCAACCGTCTGGCCTCCAACTACCTTGCGCTGATACAATGGACTGGAGCCCTCAGATCCTACATGAAGCTTAAGATCAAGTTTGTCCCACAAGGTCAGCCGGAACGTACACCCTCCCATGGGGAGTCATTGCATTTTAGGTGACATTCCGGCTGATTCATGGGCTGTCGAGTATAACAGGCCAATTGTAGTGTGTGTTGTGTCGGAGATGGGAAGCTCTCGTGCGTGGATAGACGATTACGTTGCATAAATGAAGCCTTACGGGAGAAGTGGTGGTTACTACCTCTTCGTGGTTCCTCTAGGCAAAGTGGAATTGTTTACAGCTTTGAGGTCACAAGTTGTTCTGAACGCTTAGGATACCGTTTAATAGCATGGTCCGGAATAATGGTTCGTGTTCATGGTCACGAGGCCATGGATACGAATTTACCACTCCATGGGATAGGGACTAAACGCCTTTTGGTCTGAATCCCTTCCATCTAGCGTAGTTTAATTGAAATAATGGTTTAATTACTTGTCATCTATCGTTCCTTGGTTGCAAATACCTTCAAAATGGATGAAGTCCTCCAGCTTTCTTGACAGAGGCCCTGGATGATTTGTTTGGGGAAGCAGCCGCAAAGATCCTGGACTGTGGACATCCGACTCGATGTGGTTGTCGCGAACACTTTATACCTCGAAGTGGTGTGTCAGCTGGCGTCCAGGCTCCTTAATCAAGGATCTCCAGTCGGGCGGATGGAATCTTGTGATGAACTGGCACTTGATCACAGATGATTTCTGCCCACCCTTATTTCGTGGGACTAGCCCAGGTTGGCTGAGTGCTTGAGCCCGGTCTAGTACATGACATCGGCTCAATGGGAGGGTATACGTTCTGGCTTACCTTAAGAGAAAACCGATCCTTGGCTTTGTGTAGGGGTTTGAGGACTCTGGTCGGTTGTATTAGCGTAAGGCAGTTGGTTGGAACGGCTGATGGTTAGTGCTCTACTTGGTGTCTGAGTAACCCGTACAGGGTGCCAAGACTAGGTAAGATTGGGTAAACTAGCCTTTCTGCATTTGCCGATTGGGGATTGTGAGTATGTGAACGTTTATGATGCATGAAAACAGCATACGTGCATGTGCTGCAGGCATGTTGGTTGACCCACTAAGAAGTTAGATAATCATTACCTTTTAGTGCATGAAATTAATTAATAGTGTAGGGTACAACTGAAAAAATATTGCTTAATATTGTCAGTAATTATATAGTATAAACTAAGAATATAAGTTGTGGTAAATTGTTATTTGTTCAATTTCCGCCAACTTTCATTATTAATAATGTATTCTGTTTACAGATTCAACGAATAGTCTGCAACAACTTTAAGTCATTCACTTTTTTACATACAGATAAATTAGAAATATAAAGAAAGTATCAGTGAGCTTAGACTTTACAACTCTGACACTATAATATTTTTAAATTTCTGTATTATATATGTTCATTAGGGCTAATGAATGGTGGTATCCATAATGTATGGTATTTATTATTTATTTAAGTCTGACGATCGATTTATCGTTGGTTCAAAATCAAGTTTTGAAGCTTTTAACATTTTGATGGTCAGAAGTCATTAGCTTACACCTTTCGTGATAAATATTAGTTATAGGTTGTCAATAAGATGCCTTAGACCTAGGTGACCTCTGTTTTTACAAGGCCAGTTTAAAAATTTAAATGAACTGATACTTCCAGTATGATTCTATTCACGTTTTCCAGTTTTACTGTCACTAAACTAGTCAGATTATTTTCTTTATATCATATCACATTGGATTTGATGGGTACATCACATTCCGATTTAGAGTTTTATTCACTTGCTATATTGATTATTTTTTTGTAGTTTAATCGATATACGATTGAATGAATACAGAACAATAGAACAAAACAACCAATAGATACACATTTATTAATCTTCACTATGGTGACTCAAAATTAAGGTCACTAATCATCTGATTTCTAAAAAAAAAAATTAATCGAATTCAAACTATGCATGCATACAGACTTCATTTCTAGCGAATTTCAGTGGATAAATGCTTATGGCATTTTTATGACCAATTCTTAAGGAAAAATAATTGAAATGTTTGAAAAACTAAATCCCAAACCCTTACTACCAACTCGTGTTGCACGTTTGGAAGAATTATTATTAGTGAAGACAACATATACTACGCTACAACCGGTAACAGTTAAAAATAAAACTTTATTTTGTAAAAGTTATTTTGTTTAAATTTATTTTTACACATTGGAATATCATTGATGATTGATTAATTTTATACATACATGATGGATACCATTTGATTAATTTGACCTTCTATGAGTTTCAGACACTGATTAGATGCTAAAAATGGTTATTCATATTTAATGAATAGAATACAGTCTTAAAATTGACCTTTGATTGATGTAATAATCATTATGGAGTATCATTCAAGTAATGTTTTTGTATTTGCTGTGATTACTTAATTATACTTCTATGCAAGTTGAATTTGACAAGATTTACTAGTCTAGTTGATATTGTCAGGCAGGGTTTTGGAGGTTTTGTGTTTTTACACATTTGAAATCATCAATCAATCATTGTTAGACCACCATTAGAAACCTGGTTTGTCTAAACATCATCTGTGATTGATAATTAGGAATTTAATCCAGGATTATTATTCATTGACAGTAACACATGTCTGTTGTATTTTGTTTACCAGTCATTGAATTGCCATTGTTTGTTTTCTATCCACTTGTCCGTTAGTTGATTCACTCTACTTAGAATTAAACTGACAATTTGTAAAATCGTCGTCATCTAACTACTTTTTTGTATCAATGTATATGTTAGGTGACATTTGATCCACATTCAGAAAAACTAAGCAATAAAACACATTGATCAGTACCTGAAAACAATCGTTGTAAAAATTCCAATCATATATCAGGTTAGTCAAAGATATCGTTTCAAACTAAAGTGGTAGATGGTATGGTTGCATATCTTTTGGAAAGTACTCACTACGTATAGTATTGTAAATACGTCTCACAGATAAATATCAACCCGATAGAAAATCTAGACTCACGGTTACATGACAAACATAATTAATAAATTTCTATCGACATTAAAAACTAAACAATGTGACACTAATTAATACTTCATGTTTGATTAGTGAATACGAGTTTAATGAATTATAATCCTCAAAATGAAGGATCATACATGAATAGCCAATTTTCGGTCACAGTTATTAAATTTATAAGCATACTTCTCACATCACAGATATTTATTTAACGATTGGTTAATACCATGTTGAGCATGTTTTCTGATTGCGTTTCAATAAGATGTTTAGTTTCATTAAGCGTCTATGTTTTGGTTGAATAAAAGTAATATCAATCGTGCTGATTTGTTAAGTCATCAGCAACTAGTCAGTAATCTCAACAGCAATGATACAATCAGATAGTGGTACTATAAAATCTTATGATTTATCGTTCAGTAATAGAATGAAATAATTTCATGGATTATATTACGTTTTGACCTCAGTTAAATAACTATTGGATAACTGTTTTATTCTAACATGAGACGTTTTGTAAAGACGCAGCTACTACTCGGGAGTTTGACGTGTACATCTATGAAGCTGTCATTGTGATGCGTGAAAAGTTCTGCGTTTGACTACCTATAGAGTCGTGGGTGCACAGTTTCAGTGAGTCATATACTAAAACAAAACAGCAGTCCAGTGCTCCCTGGATTTCAGTGATCATTTAACTAAGATCACTTAGTTATGTAATCTACGAATATAAAATACTTGGTTGAGTAATGGAATTTTGTGGTGGAAGTTTTATAATAATGAAGAATTTACTTTTCGAACAGTGTTTAAGTGCACTTAGGAAAAGGAAATTATTATAATGAAGAAGGTAACTTCAAAGTTTCGATGCCTATCTAGTACTGTGTATGTTATCCATCAAATCGGATTAGCAAAATATAATATTTGTGAGACATTAGATACTTAGATAAAAAACATCATGTGGAATTGTGAATGGGAAATCTTTGAAGAATATCCAGAGTAGTGCGATATGAATTGAGGTTTCGAAGCAATATGTATTATAGATAGAAATAATCTAAAAGCACTTGGTTTCTATTCCTCTCAAATTTTAATAATCAAACACATAATGTCGTTTGTAATTCACTAGGAATCAAGAACTTAATTAACGATGTCTGCTGCTTTGCAGTATGTGTCCGGACTATCTACGATGCATCAGTCTGAATGCCTCAAAGAAACTTTCGTTGATATTTTAATAAAAAGTCTATACCTCTAACAAGTTGTGTTGTTCAGCTGTCATTTTATTCATCCTATTAAAATGTAGCGTGGTGTAAAATGATCTGGATTATTCACTATTTAGTTACTAACTTCACTGCTGAATGAACGACACATTGTATGTTTATGAAACTGAATTTTATCTCATATAACGGTCACTACCTAAAGTAAGACTTATGGTCATAATCTGAATATCAAAGTATTTATTTTAGAAAACTAGGATCTAAATACTGTAGTATTTAAAGTTTTGTATTTGACATAAACATTTACTTACTTAGATCTCGTACACTTTTATTCAATATATTCATTTATGAGTATAAATAGATTACATGACAGAGTTGCTTAAACTATGTTTAACTGGAAACACTTACATTTTCATTATAAATTTGAATTTTTAATGCATAAGCTGATTTAAAAGTTGATCAAGCTATAAGCATTAAATTGTAAAATGTCAGTAGTAAAAACAAAATGGTCATATATTTTTCATTCTAATAGTGATGAATATCATTTATCTGGTGTTCAAAATTTTTTTTTCAAATATATAAATCTTACTATGGTTTGAACTTCTATTGATTAATTGAGATCATTTGATTTAGACTGATTAATCCCAAAATTCTATTGACTAAAGACGTGACAATGAAGCTGATCTATTTATTTTTCGTTAACTTAAATCAGTGTAATTTTATTTAAAACATTGAATGTCATATTATGATGATCACTATTATGAATAATGTATATTATGTACAATCTATTTAGGAAAAACTTGCCAACTATGTTCTTAATTCATATGGATTCTACAAAAAGCAAGGTAATTGTTTTTGATGAGTTTCTCAATTTCTTTTCAGAAATCATTAATTTCGGCGTATTTTACAAGTTTTATATTTGATTGTTTAATATGACTAAAGTATTCAAAACAGTGCGTTGCTGAATTTTTTAACTTATCTGTAGGTTTATGTAAACACCTACTATGAATAATCTTAAAGTAGAAAGAAATTTATCATTCATTGTTCATTCGAATATTGGAAAAATAGTTGAAAAATAAAACTCTACAAGCATTATTAGAATGATGTCAGATTAATTGATTAAACCGAGACAACTGTATCGAGTTATTAATTTAATTAGTTACTGATAAATTTCACTGTCTGTGGAGATAACGCTAAACTTATAGTGGAATTCCCTGAAGAATCATAATATGCCAAGGAGCATTTGTCCTGGTTCAATGCTATCAATTTGTCAGCATTAATTACTTCACAAGAGATGAAATCCATATACGTCAGGTTTCATGGCGAATAAGATATCTTTCAAACACAGAATTCGAATCAAACGATTTGTATTATCAAGGCTTATTAGTTCGTGATATAGAGCTATGTTCAATAATTGTTATATTATTCGTGATATGGTTTGAAGGTTCAACGCAAAATCCTTAAAAACCTGCATTTTATCCTAATATAGTGTAATGGTCCTGAAGAGTTTCAAGCCTGGATAAAAATGGTTTCTACTACTATTTTATTTATTACAGTTGTTTTTCAGTGGACAACTGTCCTTGATGAAAACCAACTCAAATTAAATCATCCTTACAAATTCTTCATTTTATATTTTTGTAATAATATTAAAAATAATGAGCAGACTACTATTTGTCAATGATGTTAATATTAACACTCGGAATGTTTTGATGATTTTCAATCAACTATGCACACGACACCTCCATTAAATAAATTGTGTCCAATTTTTTATACCATACATTGTATTTCTAACTCTCTAGTTCTCTGTTTCTTAATGCATCGAATTCTACGTGTGATTTTGAATTAATGAACTTAATTTTCAAGTACAGATATATTGTCAACCTTTACTTACTAACTTACCTACTTACCTACTTACTTGCTTACTTACTTACGCCTGTTACCCCAAAATAGGCGTAGGCTGTTGCCAGCATTCTCAAACCTACTCTCTCCTGAGCCTCACTTTATAGTTCTGTCCAATTGTAGTTAATTCTTCGCCTTTCTGCTCCCGATTAGCAGCGTAATATGTCTCTGGTCTACCTCTTTTCGTCTGGCCTTCGGGGTCGCATATGGGGAGGATGTCATGTGACACAGTTCGATGATTTCCAACTCCGCTGGAATCTAGTTTGTTCCCTCCCACAGTAGGTTGTTACTGATCGTGTCTGGCCAACGAATACGAAGTATTTTGCGTAGACAACTGATAATAAACACTTGTATCTTCTGGATGATGGCTTTGGTAGTTCTCCAAGTTTCCGCTCCATACAGTAGAACTGTTTTGACATTTGTATTGAGAATCCTGATTATGGTGTTTGTTGATAGTTGTTTTGAGTTCCAAATCTTGTTCGATTGCAGAAATGCTGCCTTTGCTTTGCAAATCCACGCCTTCTCATCTGCATCAGACCAACCTCGCTCATCAATGATGCTGACCAGATATGTTAAGGACTTAACGTTGTCCAAAGCTTGACCGTCAAGTGTGATTTGGTTGGTGGATGTTGTGTTGTATTGGACGATTTCGCATACCCGTGTGTATGTTGAGACCGGTTGATGCTGAGGCTGTTGCTATACTGGTCGTCTTCTCTTGCGTTTGTCACGGCGTGTGTGGCAGAAGAGACAGATCATCTGTGAAGTCTAGATCTTCCAACTGAATCTCAACTATCCACAGTATCCCGTGTTTCCCACTAGAATTTGATGTCTTCATAATCTAGTCGATCATAAGGAGAAAGAGAGAGTGTGAGAGTATGCAACCTTACCTGTCACCGAACTTCAGTGTGAACGATTCTGTGAGTTATCCTTCATGCACGACTTCGCAGTGTATTCCTTCAAAATGATTTCGTATGATGTTAACTATCTTCTCAGGCAAGCCGTACTGTCGAAGTGTCCATATTGTCCTTCTGTCCATACTTTCGAACGCTTTCTCGTAGTAGATGATGCTGATGTAGAGTTGTGAATTGCACTCAATTAATATTTCCACAATGTTCCGCTATGTTGCAATTTGTTCTGTACACAATCGACCGTCGGTGAACCAAGCCTGCTGATCTCACATTTGCCCATCTACTCAACCTTTCATCCGGTTAATCAACATTATATTAAAGAATCTTCCCGCTATTAAGAGAACGGTGATGCCTCTGTAGTTCTCACGTTCTCCGAGATCTCCTTTCTTTAGCATCTTGATGAGGTGTCCGTATTGCGAGACAATTTCGAGACACCGTATTGGTACATGTTCTTCATCCAAAATCTTATCGAAGAGAATGTTGATTAACTTAGCAGTTACCGCTATGTTGGTTTTCAGTGCCTCTTCTGAAATGTTGTTTAGTCATGATGTTTTTCCTCTCTTGATTTGTCTGATGGCCATTCTGACCTCTTCAATTGTTGTGGGGTGAATATCATTTGAGAGATCCATGGGTGTTGCTTCAATTTTGGATGCATTCAGTGAGGCTGATCGATTCAAGAGTTCTCCAAAGTGGTCTACCCACCTGTTCTGCTATTCTTCAATGTCGGTGATTACTTTGCCTTATCCAGAGTGTCCACGGAGATCCATGTGATCCATATGATTATGGTTCTTGTGGCCAAGAACCTTATGAAATGTTGAAGTGATTGGTTTCTTCATCTCTTTACGGTTGTTCTCAATCGTAGTTTCCTCTCTGGTGAGGGGATCATGAGAGACGGAACCTGTTGCTGAGGGCTACCTCGAATTTGATGAGTTTGCCAATATTGCTAAGAAACACCATATTAAACGTTTTGGTGCTGTTTGCCTTGCTGTCCAGAGATTCTTTAGTCTCTTTTTCATGTTGGCCACCATCAACCGAGTGGTTATCTCAAGCCATGTCGTCTTCTCTCTTGATCCTAACGTTTTCCATTGCCCTGTTAAACTTTTGTTGATTCGGATTTGATCAACTTAGTTCTGTGTTTTGTGATCTAGTTAAATCCAGGTGGCTTTGTGTACGCGTTTATGTGCGAATATGGTGTTGCCTAAGACCAACTGGTTGAAGGCATATAGTTTACGCTTCTCTAATAGTGGTTCAACATTAATCGGTCCATATCTGTAACCCCTAACTAACTATAATCCAACTATTTTTTACTAAATCATGCTTCTTTACATTTGAACTGAACATTATATGATTTCTTTCTTTGTAATAATTGAAAACTGTCAAAGTGTGTCGGTTATGAATAAATTTATTGACTTGATAATAGGACAAATGCAAATCAGTAAATTAAAAGAAGGGAAATTAAAACAAAGATCTGAATTTTAGAGAGTCTTGTTAAGAGTGTATTGATTTACATGTTTTATTAATCATAGAGTAATCTGGTTTATGGTATTACTGAAAACTCAGGAGGAATGAATATTTGTTCAGTTTAGTTCTGAACATATCATCAATTCACAACCACGGGTTCACAATCGAACGAACTCACGATTTTAAAGTCCTGTGATAAATGTTTAGATCTCAAAACCAGTGGTACAGTTACAACTAAGCTGCACGGTGCAACCATTATCTAATGCAACTGGTGATAATTGCCCTACTCCTTAAATTTTTAAACTCCATCAATCAGAGATTGTCACTAAGACTTCTGGAACATAGTTAAGTTGGCTGTTATAGTTTCGTTTAAAATGTATTGTTGAGTTTGTCTAAGTTTGTGGGCTGTATTTATCACTAGGATGTTTCACAATACACCCGGCTGTTCAAGCAATAATGGGAGAATATTCTTGATAGATATTTTTGATTATTGACAACCCGTTAACTCATCTGTACGTTTATGACAATAATATGACTAATAAAACAAATCAATATATTTTCATATTTTTCTCTGAGTGAGTAATTACATTGGAGTACTTGAGTTTTTGAATAGATTTTCCTCCAAATAAGGTGATCCTGATTGCACTTAGAAAATAAAGATGATAATGAATGTATTTTGAGTGCATCAATTAAACTTTAAGTGGTTGAACACAATAAGTAAGCAAGCCAAAAACATTCAATTCTAGCACCGTTCATTAACAATTTTCATCCACTATCACAATCTGAATAGTAATCACTATAAGACACTAGTTAATGTTATGTGATGATTGTTGACATGTCAGTTAAGTAAATTAATCACTTTAAAAGCATTCTTGATAATTAAAGATCTGTTTACTGTATGTTCATTTGTAATTAAATATGAAATTCATCTTGTGGTGAAATGAAAATAATGAGATAAAAAAAACCCAGTAAAATGAGAACAATCGACTGGTTATTTTAAGATAGAACTTGTAGGCGGTCTTAGATTGAGACATTTCTAAAAATATCAACAAAATACGATTTAAAAACATGTGATTTATGTAAATATATACCGGATAGTATGATAATGTCTATGAGTGGAAATGCTATATTCTACTTGCAGTGAAAATACCATCGCATTGGAATGCAAATAATTGAGGTTGCCAAGCATTATATATCAAAAAACAGGAACATTTGCTTTCATGAGCAGCCTTGAACATTGAGATAGCACGATTATCAACCAATGTCAGTGTAAATTTCTCTTTTGACTGCGAAATTAGTTACCTACACAGAATACGATTTCTCAAACAGACTCTAAGTAATCCATTTCGACTGTGAGAACACAATCATAATCAAACTGGGCGGTTATCGGGAAAAAATATCCCTCTAGAACTTCTATAGATTTTTCTTCAATGAGAGTTAGTTGACAATTGCACGAAATCTATTTATAATTATACTTTATTTGTTTCATACTTCATATAAAACTTTGTAATTTTGTTAATAAAATTACATAAGCAGTAACTTTAAATGTTGCTTCAGTCCAGTTTCATTTGACATTACAACGAAATAATTTACTGCATTATCATTTGTATTACTAATATGAAATCATTTCAGACAAAACTGTTTGTCATTTGTCACACTGAGAACTAATGCTAGTTTACTAATTGTTAGAATAATGACTTAGTCATTAAATTTTTACCATGGAATCAAAAAATACACTGAATGCTTTTTGAAAAATCATTTGCTAGCATGACCTAAATTGGTTATAGCTATCATAAAACTGATCAATATGTGAAAAGATTAATCCATCGAATTTTCTGTGGCTTAATAGCACTAAGTATCAATGGACCATAGTTAACGTAAACTCCAGCGACATGTATATTATTTCTAACATTCTACGCTGGTGTTATACTGAACAGAATTAAATTTAACAATTCTCCAGTTGTAGAATCTTTCAACATATACAATTGTAAAAAAAAAATTGTTTGGATTAGTTGGTTTTCATGAGTAGTTGTCGCTCGATTAGATATTCAATGATTGTAAGGTCATAAAATAAAGATAGTGAATTATTTTTCCATCACGAAACGATTCACATTTGTTTTTTCCGTTTTTCAAAAACAACACAGCAACCGATATTGTAAAAAATAGTGTCTTCCTTTGAAACAGTTTGTCTTTTGACTAATTATCTTTAAATTTTCACTTGAAAAAATTTATATGATTCATTTAGAGAGATTAGAAATTTGATGCAAAGTATGAATTTATTACATTGTTAAAACAAAACAATAACTATGTAAAATTGATGTTTACCATACAGTAAGAGAACACACTTATTCATTTGTTTATATTGATGATTTCTTTTAAAGGACTAGACATTGGCGCCAGTATTTTGAAAACTGACACTGTTTTATTTATTTGATTTATATTATGACTAGTTAGTTATCTAGTCAGTGTTCGAATCCCAATGATTCATTGTTTATGTGTTTCAAACTATTGGATATATAACCACATTGAAAATACGAATTCAATTGAGATACATTTTAATGGTTTAGTCTGAAAAAAAATCACAATAATATCAGTGACAGTTTTAAATTAAGCAGTCATCATTTTTCACGGTGACTAACAAAATTATCTCAGTATATGTATGGTAAGGTTGATAAAAGTTTTATCGTCTATTATAATCAACTGAATACAATGAAGCGATTAACTAATAAAGAAAATTATCTCGTTATACAGTTGGAGATTGAATTAACAAGTGGATAGTCGGAAAGTAGGTAAATAATTTTGATAGTTAAGAGCACATTATTTGAATATTATAAGTTAACATGACATTCTTTCTTTTAATTTTATTCATAATGACACAGTTCAAATTGACATGCAAATTAACAACACTGACGTATTTACCATTCATTCATCATTCTAAACTGTTGGATTCACAAAGCAAAACCTAGAAACTATATAACTGTTACATAAATTAACTAATCACTTATAAAATAATCAAATCAACAGATAAGATTATAAGTAGATTATCTATTATTAATCCTAATTTAATTTCTATGCATAATTTGTACAAATTTATGATGAATTATTCGGTTTGATATATCTATTTTTTTTTGTAGAAAAATTTCCATTCGATATATGGAATGTAGATAATCAAGCAATTATGCATTTATACAGAGTATGTGGTGTACTTGATTTACTGACTTTATAATTTTCAATTCAATGTCATTGTTTTTTTTAATTTGATTTTTTTTTCTGCTTATCAAGTTGATCAAAGTTTGCTAAGATTATTTAAAAAAAAAAATGAAAACTATGACAATTTCAACTTAACACAACATTCGAAAATCATTGTGCACACACATTTTGAAAGAGGAACAATAGATCTGTCAAGATATGTGGATGTAACATTGATGCATGATGTCTAGTCTTGAATAATTGTTTGTCAGATCAGTTTCCAAATACATATATTTTTTAATCAAGAGTTTGATTAAGCTAAATAAAACGTGATACCATTTTATAAATAAATTAACAGATAGAGAACATTCTCTACTTCAATCGGTTATGTAAGAACTACAACTGACATAAAATCAAATGTAAAAATTTATGAAACCTAAGATAAGGAAACTATGCAGGCCTGAAGTTTTGAATATTTGTGTTCAAATCAACAAACATGTAAGCAGAGATTTTAGTTAACTAAGTAATTGGTCAAATCTTTCATTAATCAACCTGAAACTCAACGAATTTGTTGACAGAAACCACAGTAACATTTGTGAAGGCGATCAGTGCGAATAAACTATTTGTGCATCTGCCTGTGACAATTCTATGGAAAAATGAAATGAAATTATTAGTTACATCACGTAGCTCAGATAGTATAAAACTACTAGAAAAAACATTCTTCAGTGGTACTGCATATCTGCTCCATAGAAAATCCTTGAGTGAGAAAGGATATTGAAGATAATGACTGAATGGCTGATTCATGTTGATGAAATCAGCTGGGTGCTTCTTACACAAGTCACTTACGCAAGAGTTCGTCAGTACTTATATTCAGATAAGCTTATTCCAAGGTAAACGATGCGGTGGCAAACTATTGAGATTAGAAACCAACTTCTTGAGATCAGTTTTCACCGAATTGATTTGAAAAATGACAGCAGTTATGTACCAATTGTTTCGTCCCTCAGATAACTGCAAGCCTAATTGGGTAACGCGGAAATATATTTCTTCAGTGATAGACTACCGTAACTTGTGGAGAGCAAGGTAGCTTCTCCCCACACATGAGTTAAGATAAAGAATAAATTATTCAGCAGGTTGGTTAAGTTTATTAATGTGGATTAGTAACAGATGCAAAATTGTGATTATTTTAAATCTTGATCTGGTCAATGATAGACTACCATTGAAAACCTGGAAGTGATGGGCGGCCGTTTCGTGTTGGTCTAACGTTGATCTGTTTCTGATTTCAAGGTCGCTCAACGATCTTCACAGCCTATACTGGTAAAACTATGTGCTTTTTATGTCTGTTCTAGTACCACTTGTCGAATACATCACCGTTATTGATTGTAAATTATAGACTTGTACTTTTAGAAATGCCAGAACTCACTGTTTCATTTATTCTCAACAATTCAAGTTATGCAGCTGATTATTTTGACTTTAAAACACAAAATTACTCTGAACAACAATTTAACAGAAACAACAGAAATCCACTTAATTTATGAATGTTATCGTATTATTATGGTAAGCAGTTTTTTCTGATAGAAATGATTTACTAATTTTCTTGCATTTTTAACTATTTTAAGGCTGGTATTAAACAAAGACGTCAGTCGCATATACAAAATGTTAATCATACCTGGTGGAGACCAAAGTCAGGACGGAAAAGCTCTGGAAGAACAGGTTTCGTATATAAACCACAAAGTGGTATGAACTTTGGATTATTTTAACAACTGATTTATTTTTTCATATTCTAATGTTATCAAGTGATTAGTTAGTTACACGTTTGCATATAGACGGAATTGTTGAACAATAGCTTTTGAAAAGATGACTAGTTTGATTTTCACATGTGAAACCTCCAATTTAGCAGAAATATCTTTTACAGATTTTTAGTCATTAAATATTGTCAGTAATGAACAAAATCATGATAGCTATCGATAAATCAATTGTTGTGTAATATTTGCGGATTGATAGATAAATATTCAGATGAATTATGGTTATGAATGTAATAGGTGCAAGTTTGTTCAGAACTATAATTAAACTGGATCGGATATTGTCTTTCGGTTGAATATGTTTGTGTATTTAACTCAATGATCATTGAATATGTTTATAAGGAAGTATGTGTGAAATATTTGTTTATAAACAATCACTTTGTTAAGTTTTTTAATAGTTCTTGATGTAAATAAATCAAGAATCATTCTTTTTATTTTGATAATCATGTCAAGATTAAGATATGTACTCATAAATGTCATCGGTTAATCTGTCAATCTATGGATGAAATGCTTTAAACTAGGATAATATAACTGTTTAGTTTTATGAAATTTATCGTTTTTTCTTAGATAATATCAACTTTTATGGTAAATTTGTTTTTTTATAAACATATTTCTACCAGATTAATATTATGTTTATTTCATAAAAGAATCATTAGACAAAGAAGTGAAAATTGGTTCCTGAAATTTAAAACGTATTATACAGCTACGGGACTGTTGTACACGTTTCAAAAAAAATTTTCATATCTTTTTATTAATAATTTATCTAGTTAGTATCATCAATATTATGCAGTTGAAAGTAATTGAAATAGAATTATTTTATCAGCTGTCACGATTAACAGTTGGAAATCAAATCAGTCTCATTCAGAGTGTCACCGAAAACCATGTGGCACAAAATGGATATTTCATTGTTGTGTTGGGTTCCATAGTAGTGATAATCCAAAACTGTATCGGGTGCTGAAGCTAAAACGTTCAAGTATCACTGTAAGGACTTCAATTTTAGACCACTGAGACCGTATTCAATGGCTTATGTATTTAATGTAAATGGATTCGAGATATTGCATAACTATTTTCCGAAAGCAACAGTGAGTAATTGTCTCATATCTGACATGGTAGATCTCCACCGGTCACGACGTGTCATTAATCTGAGAAATTAATTCTCGAAATTAAAATTTAATGGGCAAGTGACCACCTTGTAATATTAATTATTTTCGAGGATGGCTGAATTTTACATTTCGCTCGCTACACTTTTATTTGTTTGTTTACACGATTGTGTTTGGTGGATTAGTCATCAAATTATTATTCGTATTTTGAATCTTAAAATAAGAAAAAAAAACACGAATCCCACATTATTTAGGCTTTAGCATAAAATTTATATGATGCTATTGTATTACTAATTAGTATTTTTGGTTTTATTGCATTATTTTCTTGACTTTCTGGGTCAAAAGTGTGTAAGATTTGTTTTTGATGTAACATTCTGTAAGTTGAAAGAATGAGAAATGTAGTTTTAAGTTGAAACGGTTTATAGCCACGATATTCAGACAATGTCGTACAACTGTATCCAGCATGAAACAGAAACACAGTTTTTCACGTCTGATGTTGTTGCTTTTATCCAAGAACTGACAAATTTTAAAATATGTATTATTCTGTTAATTTCTAATAACTTCAATAAAATGCCTTCCAAATAGAAAGTGCAAACTCATTAATATTCTCACTGAATGCATAATGACTGAATATGATGTATGTAAATGAAATTTTTTATTAGGATAATAAATAATTTTTCTGGTTAGTTCTAATTGTTATGTTTCATTAACAATGACATCAGTACAAGGAGTAAATATCGATAGATCACAGCTTCATCATAAAGAACATACCAATAGTGCATCTGTTAATAACCTATCAAAACAACTGCTCAAAATTTCACAATTTTGTAAAGTGTTAATTTTGGACAAACTAAGGACGTACTGCTTTCTATTAAAGCAATTCATCAAGTCGATTTCTCATTTAAGTCAGTTTGTATATTAATTTGGAAGTTCTAACAGTATAATATTACTAAATTAATTTCAACATATGATTCATTGAAAACTAAGTTTAGCTTTGAAAAAGTATGAGAAATGGAGACAACAAACTTCTAAATCAATTTTATTCAATGTCATAAGTAAACAGAATTTAGTTGATTTTATGTTGAGAACAAAAATTCTGCATGTCACCAGATGACACTGTTGTCCTTAAATATATAAGAATAACTGTTTGAAAAATTGAAAACGTTTACTTCAAAACAAAGGAACATTTCTTTACAAAGAAAGCAATTTTAAACCACATTATCCAATGAAAACCATACAGCGAATGTAAATAACAAAATACTAATTTTCTAGACTACTTATAACTACTGTAGTAGTAGAGTGCAAATGCTACATATTTTTCGGGAAGAAACACTTATTGGTGTCCTCAATGTTTTTAACGTTCGTTTAATGTATGGTGCATAGTACTTTCAGTTATTTTTCAATTCCCTTAATATGTGAATCTTAGATATTGTAGTATTATTTGCCATGAAATGTTTGGTTCTAGGCCTTTAATGTTATTGTATTTATTTTTCATTGAGGCATATTAAGGTTCACCAGACTGATATTTGCATACTACTAAGCTGAGAATAATGTCAGCCTGAATAAACCATGGTGAGCTGATTCTGTTCATCGTTGGATAATGTTTTTAAATCAGATTAATCTCACAATGGGCTGGTTTAATTATTACCGATAGAAATCGCCAGTAGAAAAGCTGTCCTTGACTTCACAGTTGCATTCATTCATTAGATATCTAATCCAACATTCTTTAGAAGTGACTACCTGTAAGGATGATGATCTCACATATCACCAAAAACTCATTCTTCAGGTTTCGGTATAAGGAATTAAGACTAACGAGTAAGAATCTGGTTTTTAACATATTCAAATGCAGCTAATTTTTAATAAACCTAGAATTAGTATTCACTATCACCACTCACTCTTGACTTTGTTGACACCAATAACTATCCCATGGAGATTTTACAAAACGAATCGCAAATTCAGTCATACATAACTACACGCTTACAAGTATTATCAAAAATATGACTTTATGGCAAGCTTTGTCTATTTGACAGTAAATTTTAATAAGCATATCTGTTTTTGTTTGTTTAACAGCTCATTCAATAGTACTTAATCTATTAATTGAAATCGTAGTTATCTTATCTTGAATAACTTTTCTAACTTACGCAGCTCAAGAAGAGAGAACTTCGGCAATAAAGTCGGACGTCACAGACCAAACAGATGGTAGTGTCAATGTTGAACCACTAAAACGAATCCAAACCCTTGCTGAGAGTGTTCGAAATGACTCGATTAGACCAGATGAAGTTCAACCAATACTACGTGATCTATCTCGAGAAATGATTCACGCGGTGAGGAAGTTAAGGAATTATTCTATCTTTGCTAACACCGAAATTCACTTATTTGGGATTAAACCAAATATCATTTTGATTTTTCTGTACTTGTGTATCTAAGAATACTTTCTACTCATTGTTCATTTTTAGAGCAGCATATTCCTAGAAATATGATTAAAAACAAGAAAATTTCCATTTTCACTTGTTAATTTTACTAGAAAAAATTTTTCAGGTGACATATCAAATGTAATAATCCATAATGATCTAAATTTTATATATTAAGATTACTGAGGTTTCAACAAGTTAAGGTTGATCATCAATAAAGTGAAAGCATTTAAGTGATGGCTTTCAGTATTAATGTACGAAGAAATCCTAACTGAATAATCATAATGTAAGTTACTTGTGTTATCAACATATAAACATGATTTAACTAGTTGTTACATATATATCAGAGGAGTTATTACGAAACGAAATACAGTAGATAATGCTTACTCAAAGCTTCTTTTAACATACACTGAGGAATATGTACTTTAAAATTCTGTTTCTTTTAATCCAAAGAAGGCATTAACCTGAAAACTTGAAAACATAAAATATTTAAACGCTTGCATATATCTTAAATAACATTTTTCAAAGGTTCTGTTCAGTTAGTTTGCATGAATGTCCAAATCATTTCCGATATTCACCACTAACCATGCATATATTCAATTCACATTACATAATGGTACAAACATATCAGTTCACCTAATCAATAATTACTAATGCCGATTGTTCCTATTTCTTTATTGATTTCGATTCGTTTGACAAAAACAACAATGACACTCGAACAATAGATCATTGGAGGAAGTGAGGAGAAAAGCGCAAAGTTTCTGGAAATATTAGAACAACATCAACAGGCTACTGTTATTGAAGGAGAAATACAAAGTAGTGTAAGTGAATTATTTTATCTAGGTAAGTTGCCAATATGTATACTACTATTAAATTAGTAGTCGAATGATTCAGTGATTCAAAAATTTATTGCTCAATCAGTAAGTTGTATAGTTAAATCACTTTCAATATTAACCAATGGACTCTAAGGTATGAAAATAGAAGAATGAAATCGGAGTGTATGAATTTATAATTTCTATTTCCAAGTTGTAATAGAATTTTATATTTTCACTTTTTAAGGTTTAGTTTAGTGGAATTTGATAAATTTAGAATTACTACAAAATCCTATTTCTATCCTAAACTGTGATTAAGTTTAAAGTGTTAAGAATAGGGTTGGTATTAGGCCAATGGATTAGAAGTAGGATTAGTGGTATATAGGAACTAGCCTCAAATCCTAATCCTGTATTTTAACGGTGAAGAACCTACAATCAGCTTGTAAATATTCATGAATCATGTTATTCTTTATTAATTCTGTGATTTTGAACTTCAATTCATTAGCTTCTTTTTACTGCTTTATGATTAGCTAAAATGAATCAAACTTCAAGGTTGTTTGTAGGCATAAAAAAAATGCTGGAGTTGAAATTTAACTAGTTCCAAAATAGTAAAGCTTGATAAGTTAGTTGACTTCTAAATTAGCCTGATAATTTCTAAAATAGTACAAGATTGATTAGAAGTAATTCTGGTATATTTTGCTGGTTTCTTATGAACTATGTGCATTTAACAATATTTATTTATTTATTAATTCATATTCAGATATCTGAACCCGACTATGTAGAACAAACTAATCGAGAAAATTCCGTTTTAAGTGAAACATCTGCCAAAGAATTAGCTGAAGTATTTTTAAATAATTTGACTGATAATGTATCAGTGTACTTGGAAGATATTTTGGATCAACTGTTACAAAATAATGATGATGATGATGATGACAATGATAATGATCAATCTGAAACAAACCATGATCAGCATAAAAAATGAAATGAGTAATTATTACCTATCAATAAGATGAAACTAAATAAGCTGTTCTGCATGAGATAGTTTCTTTGAATTTCAAGGTTGAAATCCCTGAAATTTTAACTGTTGAATTGAACTAAAAATATTAGAATTGTATAAATTGGCTCGATAGCATTTATTTTCCATTGGTTTCAGTATCATTGACTAATTCAATGTTTCAATAAATATACATATATTTAATCATGATTTCTCAGTTTCTTTTTTTAACTTTTCCTTCTCATTGTCCAATAAGTTGAATTTCTGAAAATATTTACATGTCAATGAATTTCGCACAGCTAATCTTGAAATTTTTTTATTCTTATCCAAAAAACAATGTAGTGTACAAGACTTAAACTTTCTTACGAATGTTACATAGGATATCAGGGGAATTAAATAAAATAACAGTAATGATGAAAAGTATTATAATATACTATGAGTTTCAGTCTATTTTATTCACCTAAAATAATTTTGTCATCCATTGATCTGTTGATATGCTAAGACCGTCATTTTCCTGTTCTCAGCATTTCTTTTTTATAGAACTCACCACTAAACATAACTATTCGGCTATTTGATGAATGAATTTCCTCGACTTACTTGAAGTTAATTTCTGTCTGATGATCTTGTTTAAAAATATGTTAATCCGAATTATGATATTGACCTGGTAATTTTTAACAAAACTCTATTGTAATTTCAGTTGTTTATTTGAATAATAGTCCGAATCTATAGAGATATGTCGATACAAACTTAGAAATTTGTAGTTTTGTTAATTACCATCGATAAAACTGATTGTGTGAGTGGATTATTTTTTCATAATTACTTATTCATTCATTGATAATTGATATCTTAAGGTACTATTTAAAATTACTACGAATTAATTATGCATATTCACAGTAATATCGATTCAGACAGAGATTATCCATTTTATACTCAGTCATTTCGTACTTTTACTATCATACCGTTTTATTATTAATGAGCGAATGATTTGAAAATTAAAGCTATATCCTTTGGATATATCTTCAAGGCAATGGAATCATTTAATAGTTGTCTGAATGTAGTTAAAGCTAATTTTCAATCCCATTAAGCAATGGATTGAGAGCTTTCTAGTCTAGCACCAACAACTGTATCATCAATAACCTGAGTTGGTGCACAGTCAACGAAAATATCATTATTATGGAATTGTTACGCGTTGTACGTTAACACGTCATTTTGATATACTTGAACAATTACTATTTTACCTAGTAGGAAAACGAGAGCGAAGATCGAGGATCCGGTGACACGACATGCTACTCTAATCCAAGTGTTCCAACCCCCCTATTGAGTAAAAATAAGAAGACGATATAAGGTAGAACTTGTATTCTACAAACATCCTGAAAGTACGAGGTCCGAGTCTAGAAGAGAACCAGGGTCCCAGACTAGGGATCCGGGACTGCGTCCTGGTCATAAAACGTTACAGATAATGCGTATTTATACATTTAGTTTGAATAAGAAACATCATCGAAGTCTGTGACACTGACAGTTAAGACGACCAATAAGAAACAACATTGGAGCAGGTGACATTGATATCTAGGACGATCATAAGATGACCAGTAGAAATAAACCAATGGGAATTGACCAATAATTCTCTTAGGATATTGGATGAATATCCTAACAGGAATAATAAATTTGTTATGGAAATTTGCCATAAAGTCTTCCAGCAACCCCTAGATGATCTTTTTCGCAGCTAACCGAAATTCGGAACTAGTCAACTAAATAAACTAATTTACGATACAAATTTTAATTTATTTTTTATCACTTAACTTTAAACGGAGTCAAAAATTTACTCATAGAAATAGTATTAATCTATTTTTTACTTAACCGATAAGCCTAAATGTTTGTAGTTAATTAAAGTAACCTTGATCTTACACAATGAAATTTAGCTTGGTTATTGTAAATAATAGTTGATGTGTTTCAGTATAGTTTATAACGGATAAATTCTGTTCGCTATTGTTTAAACTAACTTCAGAAAAGTATATATATATAAATATATAATTAGGAAACTTTTAAAATATTTAATTAGTAGGCTAAAATTGTTAATCTTTTAATTCATTGTGAATTAGCAAGAGATTAACAGACAAAAATCAGATCGACAAGAGCAACGATTTGAAAAGACCAACTTATCAACGATAAGATAAATGATGAAATTAGTTTGTATAAACTTCTTAAGTAGATTAAATATTGTATTGAAACATTTAGTTAATTTTATTCAACTTTGTTATCACATAAGATATATGTAAATATTGAAAAACAAATAATCTTGCATTTCTATTTTGATTGTTTGCATAAATATAGAAAATTATCCGAAACGTAATGCCTGGAATACTTGGTAGTAAATAAAATGAGAAAGATCGCTTCACTGGTAACAATATTGAGAATTAATTTTTACTTAGTTCATAGATTGAACTTTTGGCAAAAGTCATTGAAAACGAGGATAAATTTCATATCAGTTTTGTCCTATTATAAACAGTGTTCACACAGTTAACACGCTGATAATCATCTGGTTGCTGTTGATCGTTTTTGATGAAGAAGCTTGAAATTAAGAAAGACATTATGATCAAATGTTATTTGTTAATATGGATTATGTCAAAAGTGAGATTAATGTCGTATGGTTGGTTGGTTGTGCAATATAGGCAAACGATCTAATCACAGATCTTAGTTATTGATTTACTCATCCAGATGGTTGATACTGCTTGCAACCTAGTACTTTTATTTAGCAAACAGTGCTGTACCGTGAGCCGTTTTATACCCATATGTGAATTCATATTACTCAACTCTACACTTCTGTTAATTAAGATTCAAAGAATAGTGAACTTCGCATCGTGGCTCAGATAAAATATACATCCAGGCAATTGATAGTAATGGAAATATTGTCATCCAAATAAGTATCTGTATGTACGTCAGTTAGCATTTATTTGAATACTATGCAGCTGTTGATAGCACGATGATTTGTGAAGAAAAATATTATATCGCCATATGAATGAACAAGAGACTGCATCTTTTTCAAGAACTTCCGTCTACGTTTGCAAAAACAGTTTAACAGTAGTTTAGATTTAAATAAAAATCACTTGTCGGACGATATATCTTCGTTGAATTTTTCACCAAATCAGATTTACTTGTACTTTCAACTGTCATCCTAAAATACCATTCTTCTCTTTCTACACTTAATGTCCTCTTCACTTTACAACAAATCTGGCTTTTAACAGTGTTAACATGAGGTGATGACTTGTTCAGTCCATAATTACACGGTAAAGCATATATCTAAATTCAAGAATTTTGATGTTTGATTATATTTTCATGAAAGAGTTTAAGTCAGATCACCGATCGAACTATTAAATTTACTTAGTCACTGAGGTTAAGGTTTTGCATTATTGAAACACAATGGGGAAACAAGGTAGTATTCTATATAATGCATTAAAACATAAAACAGTGCTATCCACATCGGTACGTAACTCGAATCCAGTTTTCATCCCGAAGTGCTGTTAGGAATTAAGGAGCTCATAGCCAATCCTGAAACAACTTAAAAATGCGCACTCAAGAGTACACTGAGCATTGAACCTATGAACTACAAGTATTAGTATTCGAATATTATTTGTCTGTTTTTGCAATCCTACTAGATTTCCTAAAGCGACGTAATTAATGAAATATGAAAACATACTATCACGAAACTACTCAATGGTTCTATCATTATTTTAAAAAGATCGAGAAATATTATGGTAAAATAACCTGTAATTATCTGCGTTAAGTTAGTGGGATACTTGATTAACTAACTGTCATCAAAACATGCTTATTATATATTGATTTAGCTCAGTTAGTACTCAGGATACTTAACTAATTCACTCTAAATTGTAGATATGTCTTTGCCTAAATCAACTGTAAAGGTAAATTGATTATTTGTGTCAACGTTCAAAATTTGTTCATTAAGTCGCAGAATGAGTGTTAAGTCAGTCGTAATAATTGTTACATAAAAATACGAAAAAAAGGAAGATCCATTGAGAATATTCTGACATAATATTCAAGTACTTTGTGTTATTGTATTACTTTTTTTTTCTCAGATCGGAATTCAAAATAATCGCCTTTTTCACCACGGTATTATCTGACAGTGATGCTGAAACAAAATTTAACAGTAAACGAATAATTCTTTGTTTTTTTTTTCGATGAATTCTAACTTCTAGACCATTTTTGTTGATAAATTTTCTGTTTGTATTGCAAGATTTCTTTTATTTATTTAACTGTCTAAATTTATAATCTAACTATAGACAATAATATTTTCTTCAAATTAAAAATTCAATAGATATATTCTAAGAAATAGATACTTTACTAGGCAAACAAGTCATTTCATTTTTGATTGGTGACTGAGTCTGTTTGTATTTTTATATTTTCAAACAAATAAAGAATAGATGGATCACAAATACAAAATAGATAATAAGATTTACAAGTAAAATATTGTTCATTCCAAACAAAAATAATCGAACGAAATCGACAGTATTTTGATTGTAGATAAGTATATTTAATTAAATTAAATTTTCTAAACAAAACAATCTTAGTTAGCTAGAATGTTAATTGTGAATCGATTCCGTTTTGTAACTGTACAGGTGATCATTGTACTGGTGATAATCGAATGATAACGATGTATAGTTTTCAACACAGAGCAACAGTTATTAACTATAATCTATTAGTTATCGATTCGTATACTTAAGTTTAAGCCTCATTCTAAGTATGTAAACTAGTGATATTATCCGGTTTCCAAGATCGATTTCGGTTAAGTGGAGTTTAAACCTGTAAAGTAGTAATAGAAAGTTCAAATTTTTTAAATTTTTTCCATAAAGTGATGTCAGCTGAAGAGCCATTAGAAATCTAAAGGCAATCAATAGCTTAATTAAGTATTCTATCTTTAAGAATACTGTGTTAAATCCCAAGATGGTTAAAGTTTCAAATATGGATCACGGGATTTGAGTTTAGTGTTGCAGCAGTCAGGTGGTTGAACGCAGTAGACGGTAAACCATATGATTCCATATTAAACTATGGAATTCACATCATACATCTATTCGGCCTGTACGTGAACTAACGTAGGAATGAAAATGTCATAAACTGTAAGTTGTATTGTATGTCATCGAATAAGTTTTAGACTAAGTAAGAAGTTTGAGTAAAGCCGTATTTCACGTATAATGTCATGAAATTTACAAGCACTTTTTACTAAGAATTAATACAGATAATAACAAAGGTGTTGAAGATGATTTATTTTTGAAATCATTCAATGATTTAATTTCGAAAAATAGTTTTAAACAATTAAGTGAGTAGGCAATTACATTGAAACGTTATTTAATTAATTACGATTCATTGAGCTGACTTTTTAGGATCTTACTCGGTACGAATCGATGTAAGCTAGGAAGCTATTAAAAATCTAGAGATGCTCGTTAGCTGTACATTAATGTCGTCTACAAGTTTGTTGGCGTGTTAGACTTGAAACATACACAGTCAAAGTCTTATGTATATATAGCCATGCGTGAAAGTGATGGTTGACTTATCATGATTAAGTTTTACGGTTAATAGGTCAAGTTGGAGGGAACTGATTCAAACCAAATGTATCAGTTAATCTATTTCTCAATTATATAGCGTCTTGTTGAAAATTTTTAAGCTTTATGGTATTTATGATTCAAGTAAATAGTGAAATAAGAAAAAATTAATTATTTCTGATTAGTATGTTTCTTTAAATGATACTAAAATAAATATTCAAATGCAATTTCCTCAATTGGATTACGTACTTACACTTATGCCTGTTACCCATAATGGAGCGTAGGCCTACAACCATCATTCTCTGACCTACTCTGTCTTAGGCCTTTCTTCCCAGTACTGTCCAACTGTTATTAATTCTTTTCATTTGTCTTCAATTGTCGGCATAGTGTGTTCCTTGGTCTTCCTCTTTTCCTTTGGCCCTGAGGATTCCAGGCGGAGGCTTGCCTTATAAGCAGTTGGGTGCTTTCCTCAATGTATGTCCTATCCACTCGCAGAGCTTCTGCCGATTTCTTCCTCCACTGGAGCCCCTCTGAGGCTGCTGTCAGTCCCAAGCACGGATAAAGGAGGAGGTTGGTCATGGAGTTATTGACCGAGTTCAGTAGAAAGCTAACCCACTAAACAACGCTAACCAGAAGAAACATAATTCAAACCTCCATTAAATTAGTGTTACATAATTAGATCTGATATGGTCACTAAATTATTTATAAAAATTCATTTCACATCAACTAGTTTCGTTAATTTTATTCCATTGTTTTTCAAACTGATATTAATTCACGATATGAACTATTCTCTAATAAAAAAATTAATTTGTCTGGTAAATTTATGAATTTTCATTAGTAAAATAAAGTTTTTTTATTTCAGTAAAATAATCAGAATACAAATATCCCTAAACTAAACGAAATTCTCTTCAGTCGATTAGGTAGACATTTATTTTTAAACTTAGCTAATATTCTATTACGTATAGAAAATTTGTGGAGAAAACCTTTCAGATATAATTACAAATCACTCATTGAATTGTATTCATTATTTCCGTAGAGACTAACGAACCATGAATATTTTTAGCTTGTCGACAAACTACAAATTTTTGTCAGTCTACCTGCATTGACTGATGATCGTTGTTTATGTGTGATTATTTTGTAAAGCTGAAGTCTCACCCCAATGGTATTCTATTATTTGTAAAAATCATTTTCAAAAATTTAGATGGCGATTTTTAAATAAGCTTAAATTTCTGCTTTAACAATTTGTCAAGAAAAAAACTCAGTAAATGCAACTCTAGGAAAATTATGTTGTACAAGTTTGTTGCGTATGAAGTGTAGTTTGTCAGTAGAAAGTGTGCACACAACAGCTGATCATTTGTTTTGTTTAATTCAAAGATACATTACACCACTGAGTGCTTTGAACTAAAAATGAGAGTTCTTACAACTTTGGACTAGATATCCGAAAGTATATTGTAATAAAAGAGGTCAGCAGCCTTGTGTAAGTACTACTCACACAAATAAGGATGTCTTTTCTCAAAACATATTACGAAAATCAGGTAGTTCAGGGTTTATTAAATATTAAAATGGTGACATGGTTTATTGAAAAAAATAATTTAATGTAAATTATATAAGCATTTTAAGCAGAGATGGATGGCATCTAGCAATGGAATAAAATAAGTGATAAAAATGAATTAAGATTCATTTCACTTGGTGTTTCAGTGGCTCTCTGGATTCAGTAGCAAAGTAGATGACCTGTTGGTGTTCAAAGTGAAAGATACTACTCTCAAGTCCTGATGTGAACACTAATACAGATGCAGGTACAACAAGATAATGAGACCCGAAACCATGTTTCATTTCAAGCTACCATTCAATTCTGCCTAAGATGCTTGTAACTTGATTGGAATATCATTGTTACCTGCATAAGAATGCACGTATTCCGAAAAAGGTGAACAATATCAGAATGTGTGTGTATCGATGACTTCTTTTGAGTTAGAACGTGGAACTTTCATATTCTAAGTTGAGGACGATAAGTTATGTTGGCTGAGTTCGAGCCTAGTTCTCGACATTTTTATCTGACTCAGTTCTTCAAATACAATCAGTCTGAATAATCTATTCTCATTTCTAACATATCACGAGTCACTGTCATTTAAATAATTTTGCTGTAGCAAGACCTTTAGATATGTGTTCAGTCCCTCCATAGAGGCACGTTTTCTCAATTTTATAGTGTTTTTTTTACCAGAATAAAACAACTATTCGGTACTCCATTGCTTCGGAGTGGTTTACTAACCGATGAAAGTTTGTCAAGTATACGACCTTCATAAGTTATTGTAGGCAGTCAATAAGTTATTTGACAAATTTTGAATGTGTATTTATCGACCACTGTGAATTTTTGCTCAGTCAAGAAACTGTATTTTTACTTACGGTGAGTTCTCTTTGTCTTTAAATGATGGTTTTACGAAACATTTTCCACTCTATATTAACTGGCAACGAAAGTTATTCTCAAGACGTATTCACTTCTAATTGAACATATCTCGATAAGAAGTATGTGTCTGTTCTTAGCTATCAAATGCCGATCAGCACTTAAAGTGCACAAACTTTAATTAACTCGAATAACAAAATAAATATATCAAAATGATTTCGAATAAAAAATAATTCCTGACAGATTATTGACATAGTTAAGCTCCGATTCAGCTTGTCAGCTCAGTTAACCTGAAATACTATCTGCATTCTTATACATCTTGATGTAAGTATAAAGTTATCTTGTAGTGAAAGTGTAATAAATCTTTTTATATTATCAAACTCATGGAAATAATAAACAGATTATATTTCTGATGCATGTTACAAAAGTTTCGGTGTTAAGTAGACAGATTATCACAAAAATGTCATCGGATTGATTTATCGATGTTCAAAACAATATCCTTTTACACTGATTAAGAAACGATTAACAACTAGCTACGTTTTTAGGAGTACTTTTAAGTCAAATAAAGAATTATTGCACCCTCATCCAAACTTGTAAGCACCAGAAACTTCACAGTTTCTGTGAATACCAGTAGATGGTTTAATGAGATTCTACTATTCTATTTTCATTTCCATGGGAAGTAAGAAATAATTCATTTACCTATGATTGAGACTACACAGTGTTTTTGGTATTTGTCTAATTAAACAGCGAGATTAAGCTGTAATGTTCAAGTGTTAAATTGACTGGATGGCTTTTGATCCGCCTAAAAACCGTTGTAAAGTTATGTGTGATCTTTTATAGTTTATTTAAAACTGAGTCGTATTTATAGAAGGTTTCAAGAAAAATTATTCTCAAATTTCTATTTTGTTTAGCAACATATTCTGTTACAACAATGTAGTTTGAAATTGACAGATATTTTAGGATACAAAATGTATGATTATAGCCTTATAAAATAAAAATATTACGCTTTTAAAGAATCCCAGGAAGTTTAAATCATAGTTCTTACAGCTGTTACACAGTTCTCAAACATTTTAAAATAAATTTATGAACAATATACTTTCGCTTTCTTGTTTATTTATGTTGATGCAAAATAGTCCAAACAGTTACCTAATCTTGCCTAATTCTATTAAAATATACCAAAAGAAATGAAACTTTCAATTCCTTTCATAGCATTCACAACAAATTTAGTGAATAATTTATTTAAATTCTCGATTATTTCAATAATTAAGTTGAAATAATCTAAATTGATTGAACTCTTGCATAGAGCATAATTTTATTTCACACTTCTATTATACAATTATCACAAAAGTAATTACATGAAAGTTGAATGATTCTTATAAAATGTAACATGAAAAATTTTAAAAATATTCATTGACTTTATTCATCATTTCTAAAAATAAATATATATATATACTTCATTTCTACTATAATTTCCGTTGATTAAATTTTATTGAAGTTGTACATTTTGCTATTACAAATCGATTTTGTTGTTATTGTTGTAAATCAAGTATTTACCAAAATGCTTTCTAGTTATGCAATTTACCTATGCACAATACATAAACTGATACATAAATATGAGTGAATATTTAGTTTTAGAAACAATTCTTAATTACATGGTTCATATATTTTGTAATAAATATCTTACAAATATAAATGTTTTTTTTTCTCATTTCTGTTTCTATATAATACTGACTGGATTATATGATTGTTATTTTTATGACATTTGTTTGTTAAACTGCTAAAGAAACATCAGACTGTCCTTTGGTTAAGACAGATAAATGAATAAAGTTGAGTAATGATGGTACAGTTTGGCCGTTCAACATCCAAAATAGAATGATGAAACATCTTTCTAAACATGTTTTTTTTTATTTAATACAATTCTTTGAAAAATGATTCGCCGCGGTACAATCATTGTTATTATTATTATTATCATTGTTTGTTGATCTGATAGTGTTCGATTGTGAATTACCAACTTTTGAAACAGTTATATTTGTGTTACCAGCACTAGGAAAAGTATTACGTAATTCTACAACTTGTCCTTCCAAATTATCTAATCGTTTAACAATTTCATGTATTTGTTGACTAAGTTTTACATGGAAATTATTTAAACATTTTTCAATATTTAATTCAATTCTATGCATATCATGACATGGTATACTTGGTGTTGTATTGCTAGAATTCGTTGTTGACATTGTGCTAATTGTATTTACTGATGATATATGTGCTATCGATGGTTGTGTTGAAGTGATGACAGCATTTCGATCTGTAGTTGATGGCAAAGTTGTAGTAATTGGTGTAGACGTAATATTTTGCTCATCTAAAGATTTTATTGGTAAGTGAGTTTCTGGTAAATTTTTTGATTCTTTTTCATGTGTCGGTGGTAAACGGCTTGAATCTTCATTTGGTTCTTCATTTAGATTATGTAACGGAGGTTGTGTAACTCTATTAATAAAAAGAACAAAAAATTACTAGGTAATTTTTGATGAGCACTACTTAGACGTTATTAACTAAGACAAAATAATTCTCTGGTGAATCTTTGCCTCAGCTAACGTCAGTGTGTGATGAAACTCATATTTCGATGCTGTTGTTCTTTCACTTACTTTACACATTAAGGGCAGTATAAATAAAATTTGAATAAAAAGCACTGATGATGTCAAATTAAATTAAAAAAAAAACAATATTGGAGTAGAAAATAGTTGCAAATTACCGATCAGTTGATAACAAAAGACTGTTTTTTATATATATAAAGGTTGCAGATGTAGCTGGAAAATTACCAGTGCTTCTGCAAAAAGTAAGAACTTCTATGTTTTGTTTGTTAAGTACCATTTAATAATTGCAATTTATGAAAACAAGAAATTTTTTGGTATCCTTGAATGAATTACTTTACTTCGAGGACAGTCAAGACGATATTCACCAGACTGCTAGCCATCACCGAATAAGTGATTAACAGACAATCATTTTTATACATCAGAATTACGCAAATGGTAGTATTTGAAAGGCTGAAACAGCCACTTTAATTATAAGCAGTGTGAGATTCTTCTTATTTAGAACCTATCGAGTTTGCCAGTTGGCAATAAACAGAAGAAATTATTTGTTAAGTCAGACCGTGAACATTATATTCATACCGAAAATGGCGGCATATTTGACATTATGATGAGATAATAATACAGTCGTTATGATTCGACAAGAATTCAATGACTTAACATCGTCATCGGTAAAAGAATGTTTTAAATTAAAATCCTTTTTTAGAAATTCAGTTTTAGCTAATACTTCTATTAAAATGTTCTGTTCATTCATGCATTGAATTTTTTAAATACATCAGGAAATTACTACTCACAACGTTTCTTCTGTTTATACTGCAGATAGAACGATAGAACAATAATTGATGGTCCTTACAAGCAGTCTATTATTTAACCAACGGTTCTGTTTTCATTTCGAAATCTTCATTCTAACTAGAAACTAAAATTTTCAACATATGTTTGGAATTTGTTTTGACGTGTTCAGAATAAATTCGGGATATCCTTTTCCTTCCTGGGTCGGATATAACTTACGATTTTACTTATGATTATGAATATTATTTTGTATATCTTTTTTTCGTCTCTTTCCTTTGATATTCTTCACTAATCTAATTATTTACACAGCACTTATTACGTAATCCTAATAGTGGTTTGTGATAATTATTTTGAACCTATTTATGCAAGTTTAACCTACACCTGTCTTTCTGCTATCAACTTGTACTTTTAACTATTATGTGTAGTGACGTAATCTATTTCACTGTGATTATCGACTAATAAATTGCCTTGATTGGTTTAACGTTTCCATGAAAATATTCATGTAGATTAAAGTAAAGCCTGTTGACAATATGATTGAAAATAGTATTGTTCACTTATATATGTTGTTCTAATTTCGTTTCCCTTAAATCACAACTTTTAAAATTATCAGTAAATATTGACCCCGTTGGAGTTCGAATAAATTAAACAAACTAAACATTTACTGTAAACATAACTGCAAACAGATGATGATGATATTTTAGTTTTTATTTTGCAGCTAAGATGAAGCATTTCTCACATTTCATTCAATAATTTCCTTCACTAAAGCAACTTCTTCTAGTTCATTAAGTCATAGATTTTATGAGACTTTCTACAGGTACAGGTATTAAACTGGTTTGGATACCTTAACAGTTATTTTAAAGGCTTAATACCACTAAGGTTTATTTCATCACGCTTAATTTGTAAAAATATTACAGATTTATAATATTTAAAATATATAAGATGAATGCAAGTCACAATGTATGCGTAAATTTATGTATAAAAGAAGCAACATTTTATGACGTTTTACTGATACTTTTCCATCCTACCTGTGAAATTTCTTGTTTATTCAGATTCAGTGAAGTAGGGGATCAGTAATAGTGGTTTCTATTACTTTACTTACGCCTGTTACCCCCAATGGAGCATAGGCCGCCCACCAGTTTTGTCCAACCAACTCTGTCCTGGGCTTTCCTTTATAGTTCTTTCCAATTTTTGTTCATTCTTCGCATGTCTTCTCTGTTTCTCGGTGTAATGTGTTCCTTGGCCTTCCTCTTTTCCTTTGACCTTGGAGGTTCCAAGAGGGCTTGTCTTGTGGCGCAGTTAGGTGCTTTTCGTAGTGTTTGTCCTATCCACTTCCACCGCCTCTTCCTGATTTCCTTCTCCACTGGAATCTGGTTTGTTCTCTCCAAAAGTAAGTTGTTGCTGATAGTGTCTGACCAACGAATCGGATGTATTTTGCGTAGACAACTGTTAACAAACACTTGTATCTTCTTGATGATGGCTTTGGTAGTTCTCCAAGTCTCCGCTCCATACAGTAGAATTGTATTGAAAATCCTGATTTTATAGTTGAGTGATATTTGTTTGGAGTACCAGATATTTTTCAATTGTAGAAATGCAGCCCTTGCTTTGCCAATCCGCGCCCTCACATCTGCATCGGATCCACCTCGATTGTCGATGATGTTGCCCAGTTATGTAAAGGTGTAAACGTCCTCCAAAGCGTGTCCATCAAGAGTGATTTGGTTGGCACATGTTGTGTTGTATCGTAGAATCTTGTTTTTCCTTTTTTGTATGTTGAAACCTGCTGCTGCTGCTGAGGCTACTGTTACACTGGTCGTCTTCTCTTGTATTTGTTGTTGTGTGTGCGATGGAAGAACCACATAATAATAGTAAGTGGTGTTATTTTTAGGTCTTCTGTAACAATTCGTCGATGTGTTAGTTTTTGCCAATGATAATCCCTAATACGAATAATATTTTAAAACTTGATAACTCAATGATATCGCTTAATATCATTCGAGTTGAATAGTGCCAAAGTAAACAAGATTTTAGATACATTTACACAGCGTGTAATGAAACTCATTAAACCGTGTTTTCTCAAAGGTTAAATGTACATATTTTTCTAATATGCTGTGCATGTAATCACTGTTTAGAAGTGATCTAGTTTCAACAATTCGGTGACTGTTCCAATGTGCTTTTATAAATTAAAAACAACACATTTGAGTGAACAAATATTTTTCCTAATTCTATTTTAATCAAGCCTTCACTCTATTATTCATTCATATTTATTTGTGTTGATAAGAAACATTAAACTAACATGAACAATTTGTTCACAAAGATAACTGCTTTCTTTTTATATTCTGTTTATTTATTCTTCCTTATCTATCATCTATACAAGCAAACTAGTTATTAATACATTACTAACTATATTATTTTCAGTGATGATTATTTCGGTTCATTGAATATTTTTCAGGATCAGCCTACCTTTTACTCATAATTACAACTGTTAATATTTTTTTATGCCAATTATTATTTATATATTTTGACTATATCATTCATCTTCATATTAGTGTGCACTTGTTACTAATTACAATTTGTTACGCACACCATTTTCATTGAATTAATGCTTCACACATTATTCATATCTTGATTATTTAATGCAAAACGTTATTGTTCGCTTCCATTCTATTTAAATTCACTATTTCAATGAATTTGAATTCGATCAGTAAAGCGAACTAACTGAAATTCTTAAGTAAAACTATAGAATAATCAAACAATGATAACAGCTAAAATTATATACCATAGACTTAAAATTCTAACATTCATTAGTCTGAATTAAGAGAGCATAATGTTGAAAACGGTTGATGTAATTTTTTCTAAACTTTATAGGTGCTAATTCATCTCAAAATTTCTTACAGTGTAGTATTTTAATGTACAATCCATTATACTTGTAAATTAATTCATCAGGTAACTTTAGTGTTGACATTATTTTATCTAACATTACTTAGGTATGCACTAGAAAACCATATATTCACAAACTTTAATAATAAGCAATGTGGTCCTGCCATGTAATATTACTTTTGGCATCAGACGATAATTAATTCTTGAACACTAATTATAAGAATTTCTCCTTTGATTTCATCGATTCGCCTGCTTATTATTAGTGACTATAAGAAAGAATACAATCAAATATTTTGTTACCTTTCAAATGGTCAATGAAATGGCTTCCTGCATTCGTAAACGCTTTAAGAATATCTAGGATAGAATGAAAACTATTTTTTAAATGCTTATGTCTCTAATATACCAACTTATAAATAAACCTAGAAACATTCTTCTGTTAATCAATTTACTTAGAAATAAGACGAGCCCATTTTCTGGCAGGATTTTGACTTTTCAGTAGACTGTTTGCAACAACAATAGAAGGTTCTGATTGTGGTTGTGAATCAATAGAATTCTTGTGAATTATTTGAATGGGACAGGATACTGGAGTTGTATTTTTTGGATCATTACTTGAATACATGTTAGCTTCGTGGTCTGGAAGTGGACTTTTACAAATTGAACCTGATTTTTCAGCAGTACTATTGACCACTATATCAGAAATACTAGAATTTTCAAATTCTGAACCATCCAACGATGTGTGACATGAAACAATTGTACCCAAATATTGTCTAGAAGATAAATCTCCAACTTGACTTGATCGACGAAATCGAGAAATCAATTTTCTCACTGGATGACTTGCTGGCAATGCACTCAATGGTGGCTCTTTGTTTCTTCTCAGTGAAAGTTCCATTTCACGTCTTACATCAGACAACTTTCGAAATATTACCTAAAAAAACAAACAAAACTAATAAGATTATATTTCCTAATCAGTGTTAATTTTCAAGAACAGTGAAATTTATTTTCAAATTATAGAAGGCTTCAGAATAAGTTGAAGCTTTATTGGTTTTGTTTGAAACTCCTCGAATATAATGGGACACAACCTCAAAATAGATGAATCCAAGGATTCTTCTGACCTTGCACTAATAAACAGCTGAGTTAAAAGTTGTTAACTGATCGCTTTATGCTCAATTAATTTTCTACTCTTACCAATAGTCATTCAGTATCATTGATCTGTAACTGACTTATCGGAATAGCAAGATTCTCAAATTTAAAAACACATTTTGAAGATAGTTATTTGTAGATATGCAACTATCAATTAAACAGATGGCCTACAGCAATTTAAAATTTTTCAAAATGTACGACATTTTCCAGTTACTGAATAATATTTAGCTAGCTATTCGACTTAAATTATGGTAATTTCATGTTAACCACAGATACGCAACACTTATCTGTGTTTAAAGCATTTCTCATTATTTTGAATCATTCCAAGTCCTTTTTTTAAAACAATCCCAGTTTCACTAACTTAGAATAATTGTTTAATCAAGCTTACAGGTAGAAAATAGTGAATGTGCATGACAGGTTCATGTAAGGTTTGTATGAATCGGTATCAGATGAATAGTCATATGATAATTAAATTATAATTCCGTCACCTTTTTTGTACGTATTTATGTAATTAATTATGAACAGTAAACGACACAAATATTTATTCGCCATTCCTATTGATTTGGTTTACTATCCAGCGTTCACAAAACATACTAATCCTTACCATCTCATGTTTTTATTTCTGTTTATACACCGTTAGTATTCATCAAAACAAACTTAAATGATTTTTCTGACAAAACCTTCAAAACAAATACTTTAATTTTATCCCATCGAAAAGTCATTAATTTTCTTCTTTATATTATACCTAATTCAATTCAAAACATTAAGAAAATATTTTGTCAAGGAATAAAATGAAAATATACAAATTGATATCACGCTTACTCTATTGCATAAATTATAAGTTAACTCTAAATTTCGTGTGAAACTATTCGCGAATGCATGATAAAAGTTTAAGACAACTCGTAGACGATCCAGTCGTATTGTATGCAAAGTACAATAAGTCAATGCTCGAACACTTGCTGCTGCCGGTACAGACACTGTATTCTTCCACAATGGATCACCAAAAACATCACCTTTACCTTAAAATCAGAAAAAAATTATTACAAAATAATAGAGCAGTTAAACACTACATGTTTTGTAAATACCTACAAGTTATAAGTAGGATAAATAATGTTTGAGCATTAAGCAAGAAATACAGACAATAGACATTTTGCATTGCCGGCTGTGATAAAAATTACAATTAAATCACTCAATATTACACAAATAATTTAAGAAACAGTTAGAAAGTTTTAAGATAGTTCAGGCCATTGTCTAATAACGATTAAAAAAACCGAGAAAATGAAAAAGTTTTTTTCTTCCTTGAATGAATTTCTTTATACGTTTGCACTCATGTTCCATGAATTAAGTTTACAACCTTCCGACTTGTCTAGGAGTGTGTGAGCTTTAGACAAATGAGCCAGTGTCCAATAGTTGTCATCTTTAACTTAGATCAGTTGGTCTAAAGTGTGAAAATTATGAGAAGTCAAGATATACTGAAGAGCAAAAGAAGTTATAATAATAGAAAACGGAAATAATTTAAGGCAAACTGATGAGTGATGAAGTATTGGCTATAATTACATAGAAAACAGATATCTTGATACGATTCTGATTCAATAGCTAATCTAGGTTTTTCTATGAAGATACAAAATACTACTTAGCATAAGGTTCAGTAATGTTATTTAACGGGTTATAACCTTAGATAAATAGTGTACATTAAGAGAAATTAGTATGTATATTACATATTAGGAAACTAATTTAATCTGTATATTCTACTCAACATTATGCTTTCATTCCATAAATCTAACAGAAACGATAACAGTATTTTCATACAATAAATATTTGATCAATATACCAGTGGTCATCTGGTAGTTAAAGCACTCAACTTATAACTAATAGGCAATAAAACTCAATTCCAATTCATCTCTTGTTTGAGTAGTATTTGGATCTGACATACAGTGTATTTCGAGGACGATTACACTGATTCATATTAGGTGAATGAAAAGCATACTAACTAGTTTATTTTACCATCCAACTTACTCGTAAGATGATAGCTTCAGTATTAGGGAGAGAATAATTTAAACGACATTACAACTGATTATGTTAGTAAAATATAAACAATTTTGATTGAAACAAATACGCTACATTCAGTATGCAGCAAAAAGTTGACTCTAAACACTCAATTATTTACAATTCCTGGTGTTCAAACACACTGACGTGTTGAAGATGACTAGAAAATTTAACATCGAATTTGCAGCGCTTACTTGTTCATCTAAACGTTTACAGTCATTATATATATATATATATATATATATATATATACATATATATATATATACATATATATATATATATATATATATATATATATATATATATGTGGGGAATTTCACTTGATAATGAAGAGAATAAGTTATATGTATTTTTTATGGACTAAAAATCTTCCTGGACAACACTAAAAACCTGGAAGCATTTGATCTGATGGGATCAATCAGTTATGAACATTTTCGAGATTTGAAATTCGTATAAAGCCTGCAATCGTTTAATTCATGGGTTATACTTTGATATCTGATAATTTGATATTTGATAGATTTCATCTGATATCTAATAGAATATGACTACTACTCAACATCGTCGGTAGCTATCTTTTGTCATTGCCAATGCTCATGTCTCTTCGGAACACGCTTTTACAATAAAGCTAAAGTGACTTTAAAGTCAATTCAGAACGATTTTTGAATCATTTGTATTAAATAAGAAATAAATATGGAAAAGAGCTATGTATTTCTTACCGAGTATTGCTATCACTTCATCATCTTGCAACACTTCTAGAGTACCACTTGCTATAAAACACAACTGATCAACACTTTCACCTTGATGACATATTAAATCACCTGGTGCTGTGTGTAATGTTTGAAAGTTCACAGCTAATGAACGTCGACAACCATCACTTGCTAAACGAAACGCGGCATGACTATTGAAAACACAACGGTTCAGATGAACAGAAATATCAGCTTGCATATCTTTAGGGCAATAATTTAATACCTTAAATGAAGTCAAAATGCAAAAATAACAATATAAATTAGAATTGAGAATTGAAGCAAATGATTAATTTAAGTGTAAAATTATCAGATGAATAAATGCATACAAAATGATACATAGCACAATTTTTATCTCCTACTTTTTCAAATGTTTTGTAAAAAAAAACCAATAATTTCAAAGCACACAAAAATCGCCTATAGGTTTATGAACAACACTCATTTTCAAAGGTTGCCTAATATCTGTTGATTGAATCTGTTTATATGAAGTTATCTACTTCTCTCTAATCTATTTATCATTTCTTCAAGTTAGAGTGTATTTGTCTCAGTCTAGTATTATTACAAACACCGGTACTTAAAAGATATACTGACTAATATTTAATACTTTTAACAGGACAAGAAGCATATCGGATTGTCAACTATTATACTTATGAATTCTTTTTTTCCTCAATTTATACATTTAATAATCTCCCCCAGTTGTTTGTTACAATAATTAATTGTTTGTATTATACCGAACGAGTTTGAACGCCAAGAGTTAATGTCGGTTTTCCAAATAAAGAGGAATACATTACGACTCACTAGCTCTACAATATGTCAAACACTAAATAATATACTGCTGATAAAATACACTAAGTAAGAAGTTATATACATATATTTTATGTTTAATATAGTCAACTGAAATCTTGACTTACAATGTATTATCATTTTAGGCATCAACTGAAGTTTCACACACTAAATTCAATGTTAGGGGTTAATTTACGAATAATGATTAACAGTTTAAAAACCAAAGTTTGTTGTATTGATTGAAATTTATTTGTTATAATAATACACTGTGACTAGTCATGCTATGAGCAGAAACTCAGGAAACTTTAATTGTATATTTTTCCTTATAACGTTATACTATGTTTCATTGAATCAGTTATTTGTTATATTAGTAAATGATACTTTAAATATTATATTGCAGAAAGCTCAATAAAAGGTTTTTACTAAAGCTTTAAAAGGAAAAATTTTATCAAAAATAGCATCTCTATACTTAATTATTTGTTAATTTTATCATTGACTAAAACCATATATCTAATGTAAGATAACTTGAAAAAGATTATTTATGTAGCAGTCAACTCTAGAGATAAATTATACTGTTTGAATTGATTTTGAATTGATACTAGTAGATGTGCACTGAAATGATTTCTAATTCTGCAGTTATATACCATTCATGATTTCAAAATAGTGAGTCATTAATAATTATGTTACAATAATAATAATGATTCAATTTTAATGTTTGTACTTTCGAAGTCTACTAGTCACTAAAAGAACATTTTCAAGTAAACAATACAGTAAAACTATATTTATTATTGTACTGTAATGCCTCCACATATATTCCAGTTCACTTACATTTAATTTGGTTAAGCCCGTTCGATTAATTTATTTAACCAAGCCATTTGTATTGCAACAATTTATATGTACCATTCGTTCTTATATTATTGTCTGGTTTGTATGAGCTCTCATGACTTGTTCCACTTGTCATTTAACCTTGTCAACTATTCGTAGCTTTTATTCATGTGTGCCTATTTCGATTGTCACATGTCTGTCTTATATTTGTCTGACTATTTTTTCTTAGTCATGCTCTATCTCTGGGAGTTGGCTCATTAGCCTTCTCCAATTCACGTCGTTTCGTTCGCTTTATTCGCTGCTATTCAACTTCGCTTTGTGGTGTGTCCCATGTAAACGTATTCAACACTATGAGTTCGCCTTCTGAGTTATAAAAACCGTCAGACGCTAGTTAGTAACGATTGTCTGGACGAGCTAATTACCGAGCTTAAGAACACGCAGTAAATCGACACACTACAGTACAATAAAATTATTCATTCAACATGTTTTCTAATAAATTAAAAATTATATTTCCAATTCAATCTCCATTAAGAAATAATCCATTTAGAATAGTTTCATCATCGTTGTTAACAGAGGTCATCAATTCAATCAAACACGATGAAACTTATTGGAAATTTTTAAAACTTTAATTGTAACAATGAATCAATCTCATCTTAGCCATATATTAACCATTATAGTTAAACATCATACAATATTCAATATAACTGCAACTGGAACAAACTATGATGGTACAAAAACATGATAATAAAATTTCCTGGTGAACTTTTCTTAAAAATAAAAATGAAAATTGAACAAAAAACTTACTTTCACTGTATCAATTCCTTTGGTTACTGACCAAGATGATGTGATATAGTCAATAACACGTTCACCTAACTCTCTTGGAACTTCATGAATTTTTAAGAAATCTTTTACACCTTTCATCATTTCATTATATCTTGTACGTGTTGCATACATTTGTTGAACAATAGTTGTTACATTACCAAATATAGTAGCATATACCAAAGCTATTAGTAAAAAGGTATAAAATGATAAATCTAATTTGTAATAACAATGCAATTCATTGAACAAAAAGTATGCATTATTTATAGTGAAGTTTCGTTTAGCACTTTAAGTTTGTTGCTTATGTTCAGCATGTTCAGCAGAACAATCAAAGCTTCATCACCAAATTATTTAGGTCAAAGAACTAAACTCCATCGAAAACATCCTCTTGAGTTTTATATTTTCTTCATCATCTCATCATATCCACGTTCATTAGAAGATAACATTCATATCAGTTCAGTGAATATCTAATCTATGTAGATATATGTTATGATATCTGCAGAAATAGTCGGCTCATATATGATTCATTCGTAAATATATCATTATGCTATTTAGTAACATAAATAATCAACAATATATCTTTTTCTGAGTACCTCAGATCATATATACTGAAAAATAGCAGACAAGTAAGACAAAACATTTTTCTGGTCACTTTAAATATTTAGAAAATTTTATTATAGATTGAAAGCACAGTTGTTCTGTTTATAACTTAAATTTTCGTGAATCCCTTAATAACTTTATTGTATTGTCAACAAAAAATGTTCTTCAAAGTATATTCGATTAATGTTTACAAAATCTAATCCCTTTTCACAAGAATTGTTCACTTAGATTTGTCACATTGTCGACTAGTGTACTAGTTGACAGATTACTTACTGCAACATATTTATTTCTTCTTTTTGTTAATATTTTTATTAAATGATTAGTTAATACAGTTTACTTTTTGTAAATTTACTGTGCTCAGGTTCACTGAAAATGAGCTGTTCCGTCCTACTATGGAATTTTAAGATCTAGCACCCAATGGTTAAGCTAAGATCATCAATTTCACACCGTAATACCCCATCTTGAAACTACTGAACAGACATCCGAGATCATACATGTTTAACTTCAGTTAAATCGTAACCTCTTGTAACTATCTTCAATTGTATGTGTTTTCACTGTATAAATTATTTTTATTCTCTAGTTTATTTACCAAGATCAATCCTCATAATCAAAATATTCCTGTAGTCTGTTATTGTTGCAGTACGAATCTATATATTCTATTAGACTACCATATATGTTGATTGGTCATAAATGCAGTTAAAAAGTTTTCATAAACAATGTTGTCAAGACAAAGCTTATCTTCGCTGAATTTCCTTCAACAAGGAGAGAAGTTTTATTTAAATCTCAACCAAAGGAGTTGGTGATAATAACCTTAGTATAGAGACAAACACTAACTTGTTTGTTTACTCTAACAGAACATTTACTTTTCCTAGATGATCTGTGACGTTTAAAACAAAAGTTTTGATTTCGAAATTTAAGCTAACCATCATGAGGTTATTTAATTCGTGTATTATCAATCGATCTACGCCTATGACATCGATTTCTCTAGTAGATCATAATAAAAAGACCAGATACACCTACTTTCCTAAAGAAAATGATTCATAAAACTAGTTCACTTACCACCTATAAGCATACAACAAATTGATAACAATTTTTCACTTTCTGTAAAAGCTGCCACATTACCAAATCCAATAGTTGTAAGTAATGATAAACTAAAATAAAGTGCTGTAATATAAGCAGTCCATTTCTCTCGAAAATTTTGTAATGGTAAATTTGTTGGCGAAATTGGATAAACATTGCTTTGTTTGTATTCTTGCTGATCTAAACCTAGAGTTGTATCATTTTGTGCAGTCTTATTTACACATGTTTTATGAATTGAACAATTGGTAAAGTTATTTGATGAGAAAAATTGATTTTTCAATGTTACTGATGATTCTGCTGCTGCTGCTGCTGATGATGATGATGATGATGACGATGTTGTATGTGATGATGGTGTTGATTGTGAATCAGTATTAATTGATGCAAAATTCATTAATGAACTATGTACACTTGTAATATGTTGATTAAATAATTGTGTTTTATTCAAATTTGTCATAGATTCTGTTAAACTATGATCATATAATGTAAATTCTTCCCAATTTTGTGGTTTCAATGAATCATTATAAATTCTTGGTATCCAACCATAGTATATTTTATTTTCTAAATCAAATATACCAACAGCATACCATGCACAAGCAAACCAATGTGCCAATAGAAAAAAGCATAGAATCATTAATAATAATAAAGTGGATACATATTCTAAGTATTGATCAATTCGTCTAGCTGCACGTCCTATCCGTAATAATCGAACTATACGCAATGCATCCATCAGATAATAGACTTCCTATAAATAAGTAAAAACAGAGTATTAAAAAGCAACTTTGCTAAAATGTCTTATTTATGTAAAGAGGTAAATTTAAGGTGACAGTTTCCGTAAAACAATATCCCACCATGAATAACTCATTTTTCTAATAAATTTTCAAATTAATCTTGACTCATTGGCCATCATGATGGTTTTAGTTTTGATTAATTATTATATCTTTAATGAATGTTCAAAATGAATAAAAATTAGGGCAAATAATTGTTTAAAATAAGTTTGGATTTCCAATCTCGAGTTATAACATCATACTGGACTACAATAATCCAAATACAAGATCATAAATAGGTAGGCTTTAATTAAATTACTTAACGTTATCATTTAAACTTCACATGGAATAATTATCATGAATACCTAAAAAAATATTTACTTAGCAAGATTGATAGGTTATTTCGAAGGATTTTAGGAAAATATACCTTAATGTGGTGAATGGTAATCGAGAACGTTAAATAATGTCAATATGTTAACGACGAAGACAAATGTCATGCCAAGGTTATGATGTTAACTGTGGAGAAAGTATCATGTCAGCTTTAGTTCTGATCTTCTGGTGATAAGAATACATTTTTCTGTAGACCTTAGAATTCAAATATTTCAGATAGTAACAAAAGAGTATGTAGAAGGAGACTAAGAAACATTGACGCATTTAATTAATCTTTTGTGTTTCCCAGACAGTTCAAACCAAGCATGTTCTGCAAAACAGTTCAAGAATCCATCTTAATGTTAGGTCAGTAATTTTGACCATATACTTTAACGATCAGGAAAAATAGTTAAAATCGAAAGGTGCTAATCATGAGGAAAACTAGTAACTGTTGATTAGTAAAACCTTGTTTTCCTTGTTTTGTCAAGTGAACTGTCCTATATCCTTTAAAGATGTTTGAAGCATGGCAGTACCTCATCACAAGTTTCTATTCTAATAAAGAAGTTTATAGTCAGTACATAGAGGCATGACTGACTGCCTTATCCATTTCATATTTATGTAGCCAATATGTAGCGACTACTTAATGCTTACTCAAATATTTGTGTTAAACGTTTCAATAGCTAAATTCATCATGAGTCACTCATTTTTACTGGAAGTTTGAATCTTTCCTTTTATAGTTAGGACTGCTATTGATCAGTCTCATTTGGCATAAGTGCATCTTGTACGGACTGTCTTGATATAGGCATCACGTAACAAGCATTATGATGTACGAATGCCAATAAAGACTGATCAATAACAGTCCTAACTATTTTGCTACTTAAATGAAATTTAAACTGCTTACATCAAATGCTTCTTCATAGTGATGCGAAACATTCAATTGTCCAGTAATATTGGAAGTTGATGGACTTGTCTATCGATCTACACGAGAAAATGAACTAAATTCTTTTGTCTACCATTATTCTTATGTCGAGCATATACGCTATGTTATTATTTAGTAGTAGCTGTAATATGATCTTTTCTTATTAAAAGGAAATGAAATTATTAAAAACGATGAATTTTTCAACCTATATAACTAAGAATTTTAAAACATCATTCTTAAATTTAAAAGTAATCTATCTTTAATGAAAGCTAGAATGAGAAGAGATAACTTATTGGTTAAGTTCGTCTGCCTTAGAAAAACTGTTATTAAGTTTTTTTTTCTTTTGTCTAACACTTGTCAAGTTCTACAAGTAATGCTAAGCAACCTTGTCCACCAATATTTAACAGAATTATTTATTGAGAAGTATGTGAATTTTAGTTGAATGCATACTGTCGGTAAAACAATGAATGTAAATAATGGACCGGAAAATTTCTGTGTAATAAAATAATACATGGGTGATACAACAAACATTTGTCTGCTAGCTCAAGTAATTTTTGCTTCGTCAGTTACTAAAATGGAGTTAACAAATTCAAACAATTAATAAAATACACAATAGAAAAGATATCTGATAATATAATCTAACCATGAAGTTACTTTGACTTACTGTGTTATCTACAGGCCAACAATATTTCAATATTTCATATGGAAGACAAGCCAATAAATCTAATGTAAACCAACCGCTCAAATAGTTCATTCGAATAACTGGAGGATCAGCAACTACTTCACCTCCAGCTCCAACAAAAGATGTATGAAAATTTAATACAATATCTACACCAAAAATAATATCAATAATCGCATCGGTTATAGTTAACAGTTCCAAAGTTGTTGGATGGATCCATTCTTTTTGATTATTTGTTTGTAAAGCTAACGATTCAGAAGAAGGAATCCACGCTGGTCGAGGAATAACTGCAACTCTCAGTGGGACAATGATAGCTGTGTAACCAGTAAGCAATAGGATCGTCCAATCCCAGACTATTCGAAAAACTGAATAGTGTAGAAGTACATGTTTCGGTGGACATGGCGGTTCTGGACGGTAACGTGGAACTGATTCAGGAGCGGACCATTGATTACTAAAAAGATCATCTACATCACCATTTATATTTGTTCCCTAAAATAATAACAAATCATTTAAATAAAATAAGTGACTTTAAATGTTTTTTTGATTGTTTACTTAAACGAGATCAACTTAAACATTGATTCTGTATGACAATGTTGTTTTTAAATTTATATTAGTAAACATTTGGCATTAAAATCTAAAATACTGAACTAAACGATTGATAAAACTTCAAAATTCATCACCTCTATTATTGCTTCTTCATATTCAGAAGAAAATTTAAATGATAATTGGTAAGTAGTTCACATATTGATTTGTGATATCAATTAAGCTTTGCATACCTTTATAACCACTGAAGTTAATTTAAGGCAAGTCCATTAATGATAGATTCAATTATTTTTTAGATGACGGGAAGTGGTAGACGATAACTCAAAACTTATACTTGGTAAAATTCTTTATATTTACATTAGTTTCATTTACAGTGAAACTTTGATTTTTTACCTTCAGTAATTAGAATCCTTTCAATAATAATAATTTCATCATTTCGCCCACAATTATCTAAATAATTAATGTTGTTTACTAAAGCATTACTGATAAACTTTTAAAAACTGAATTATTAATGTTAGAGCAAATTTTTTTTCTAACCAAACTCCCAACCTCATCGCATTATCAGAAATACATTGAAAAGAAAGAATCCAAAATTGTAGTAAATGATTCTTTACATCAGACTTTGGAAGCTTTTTATTTTATAAACCTATTTGTTAATAATAATAGGAATCAGTTGAGCTATTAAGTAGCAAATATATATTCATAAACATCATTTATGCTGACTATCAATTTTCATACAATTTATAATTTCAGCTGATTGAGAACAAAAGTTGATCAAGCCGAGTAGTTCGCTTGTAATGCTCATTATGAGCCAGCATCTATTCATACAGCATTAAGAATTCAGAGGTGATTGAAAAATAATTCATCATATTTTCTGATTCTTCAAGAATCCATGACTATAACTTGAAACATGAATGAATGAAAGAATATTCGAAAACTGACACAATGATTTAAAAGTATCATGAGTAGAATGAGATCTTAGTTTTAATGCTATGAATCAATGCAGAAAACACAGTCAAATAGTCTAAATATAGAACGAAAAAATTGGTAACTACTTCCTAGTTTCTAGTAGATAACATTTCATTAAGAAGTATCCTTAAATTTGCAAAAGTAACAATGTTCTCGCAAAAATTCCAGATAATACAGCTGTGAAACCATGCTCATTGAGTTTATCTAATTTATTTTTCGTAATTTTCACTTCTTTTTAGGTGATTTGTTTTGACTACTTCCAAACTACCTACGCACATATTTACGATCAAATAAATTGCTTAACTCTATTGAATGTACGTAAGTCAATTAACTTTGTATAATTTTATTCACGTAGTCTCTTACATTGTTTAATAGTAATTCTATGCTGAGATAAAAATTACCATAATGACTTTTTCTCTTATATTAGTGTGACTGTTCAACATGGTAAATCAAGCATTGCAAAATTATAACTTTCAATAAATCAGCGCTTGTGTGAAATAATTTTAATACTTAAAACTACGGAAATATTTGGTTTAAGTCTTCTAATGTATAAAAATCATCATAAGTCTGCGTTGGCATATACACAAATAAAGAAAGTTAGGTATCTTAGTTGAATGTGCGAAAAGAATCCTGAGACTACTTCATTTTTTCTGCAACATTCTGAATCTATATAGTCAGTAACGACCAAACTCATAGATGAAACAGGTTATCGAATCGACTTTCAAACTGTTGATTTGATTTCTTTTTCATCTAAAATTACTTATTTTTAATTATCTGTAATATTTGATAAATCACAAGGAAGATTTAAGCTAATGACCTTGTCATTTGAATGTCTTTAAAAGAAGAAGATTTCGTTTTTATTGCTACCATTGTTATCTTCTAGGATGATTATATGTTTATTTTGAAGTTAACACGTGTAAATATTATAAAGCTATAGTATGTTGTAACAGATTTACAGACAACAAATATCTTCTAATTTATTTAGACTTTACAGAAAAGGTAATTTACAGCTTGACGAATGACACAATGAATTTTTAAAATGTTTGTCTTATAATCGTATAAGCTGCATATTTATTTATACCATTATTTGTTAAACATTTTAAGTATATTTTTAAAATATGATTGATGCATTAAGACATCAAGAAAGTGTAAGAATTAGTTTATTGACATGTAAATTAACTTTTTATAGCCAACTCTTCTTCATCATACAACTTACATATTTGTAGAACTTTGTAAATTTCCGACAAGTACAAATAACTACTGAACATGTTGAAATATCATCAATGTGAAAAAAAGGCTTATCAAAATTCTCATCATCATTATAGAACTTACTTTAATATTTACAAGCTTTTTTGAATTTGTAATGACCTGGTTTGACTTTTTGTTAGTACGTTTCTTAAATATATTATATTTATGTCTTTTTGACTTTATTTCTAAATTAGTTAAATTTAATTCACCAGATTCTAATTTATTCAATGATTTTGAATAACTACTACTAATCAAATTAGTTGATACACTGCCAGCATGATCTGATGTTGAAATAAGATGACATGATTTAGTGGATTTTCGTTGATTTCTTTGATTGAATGGAATGATTAATTCGATTTCATCATTTGTACTATTATTTGTATTAGTGTTATTATCATTGGTTAACTCATTTACAGTGTTGACATTTTTTTCAGATTCAACAGATTGTTGTTGACATAGTTTTTCATTCGAATTCAATTGAGCACATTGAACAGTTTCATTTTCAACATTTACTTGTGGAGAATCTATGTGTTCTGTATTCTCTGCGATTGAATCTTCAGCTTTTTGTTTCACCATGGAGAATACCAAACGAGCAAATTTTCCCCAACCTAACGATCAATAAACAAAGTGAAATTTTATCATATTTCATTGATAAAATATCTGTTGATAAGTTTAAAAAATACACTGCATTGACGAAACTGAAAGACGTTTAAGGTAACTTCGAACGATTCACATCTATCAACATCGAATGTGCCAAAATTTGAGTAATATTTTGAAATCTATTGGTAATGAATAGTAAACTTGAAATCTGTCCATCACATCTGGCATGTTTAAGAAAATATTCAGATTGGTAATCCATTATCAATAGGTCATTGATGTGTCCCATTGATAAGTAATGACGTATATCTAAAATGCATTTTTACAAACGTCTCCAATCATTTTTCAACTAACCAACTATAAACTGTCTTCAAATTTCAAAGTTAAGTAGTATTATCCAAAGTTTAAACATATCATTGTTACGCTGACCTCTTCAAAATCTTTACTCTTCATTTTTTTATCTTCAAAATAAATTGTTTGATCAAGATTAATTGAAAGATGTAGTGATTACTAATCAATGGAACTACTCTAATTTAGCCTCAGGTAATCTTGACTATTGAACACTCACAAAATTTTCTCTCTCATTTTTTGATACAGTGATTTTGTATTACTTTAAAAAAGAAATCTGTTGTGAAATTTATTATTGAATAGTTTTGATTTTCAGAAAAAAACAAACATGGAGCTGTTAATATCACACACAATGAAATATTTCAATTTTTATTTGAGAAAAAATTTAAAATATAGCGACCTCTAATTTCGTTATAAATTTATGGTGAAAGGAAGTCATGACTATGTTTATCTCTTAAAATCACATGTTATATGACAAAAGTAGTTGGCTAAATTCAGGTGAGAAAAAAAGATAACAGCAAATAAATTTCAAATGAATATGCACCTTACAATCATATTTACCGAAAATGAAGACCATACCTCATACTACGAATTATATTAGTTTTAATGTGTGTATAATGGTGTTAGCTCGGATATACTATTGCTTCAGTACGTGATTGGTAGTACTAATAAAACTGATGAATATCATAATTCTAACCAGTTCATCGATAACTGATTGAATATTCGTGCCCCGAGTTAGATTTAAACTCAATTTTTTCATTAGATATCAGTGTTGACCAACAGACTATTCTATTATCGTTTCCGCCTAAATCAATTTACGGACTTCTTTATTTCAAAATTTTTAACCTTATAACTCTACCAATTACGTGTTATATCGTTTCTTGTATCAGCCTAATCATACATATAAACCGACAGAAATTTTTGTGATTATTTATTTAAATATATATATATATATATATTGATGGATTCCAGGTTCCTACTTTTTGCTACAACTTCATTTTACGAAGCTGTTGTTTTACTTAAAAATCAGGAATTAATGAGGTAACAAGATTTTCTATTGACAACATGGCGCAGTTTCCGTTTCTCAAAATAATTTTTGAACGAATGAATATGAGAATAAAACTAAGGAAAGCCTCTAGTTATCATGGGAAGATGTGGTTGTGTGATGTTTAGTTTAAATATATAGTACTGGTGATCGATTTTCCTATTACTATTGTGGTGGACGCTACCTGTATGATCATTTGTCAGTAGAGTAGCCTTACATGGATGTTTCTGGCATAGGGAAGAATTTCTGGAGGTTGAAGCTAACATTGCGATCAGAGTAATTAAAGACCAGAGCAGGAGTAAGAGGAGATAGTCTATAACCAGCTTGGACGGCAGAACGCACAACAGATGGAAATGGACGTGATGTACATATTTTATAAACAATCGATGTGTTGATCGGAACTCGCCTGGTCCCTACACTACGACGTGCTTTACTATTTGTGACCAAATGCTAAGCGAAATGATCTACGCTTATAAAGAAAAATATAACCTTAAATGCTAAACTTTACCTAGTGATTTAATGAATTTTGTAAATCATAGTGTGTTATTGAACAGTTTCTAGCGGCTAATGGATGGAATGCTTACTAAATTCCATAGTTTATTCAGACTGACAAAACTAGGTGATAAAATATCATACTGTGAAACTTACTACTTCCAGCGTCACTTGCAGCTGCAAATGCTCCTAATGCTGACGTCTGAGCAGATTCTTCTTTGAGTGGTTGACGAAATGCTGTCAAATCTTTAAATGTGATAAGAAACAACACTACCAAATCTTCATCATTACGAATCGGAATTAATTCAACCAAAATGCACAATGGAGTCACTTGAAGGATAATGGAAAAATGACAACAAATAAAACCAGTTTATATATATATATCTTAATTGAAATTATAGTTATGGCATATTATCTTTATCGACTAACGCCTGGTTTACTTACTGCTCCTAAGAGAGTGATACATATGACATTCTGTTATAAAAATGATGACCAATACTGTATTTGTAATTCAAAGAACTTCTCGTAATATGACACTTAGCAAGACTTACGAATTATCTAGTACCATATATTCTCATTCCCAATGTGAAGATCAAAACTACAGAGGTTTTAACCGAAGATGAATTTATGAAACATTTTTTTCGAAGTAGTAATAATTTATTAAAAAACCTCTAATTTCAAATGAAATCCGTTTCCTGGTTATATTTCATACATAATTTTTCATAGGATTCAGAGTTACTATATCTGTCTACAGTTGTTTCTCTTTTATGCCAAACAGGATTTTTCTTTTCTTTTCAAAATAATTAATATCGACAGTTATTCACACAGAATGTTGTCTAGACTTACAATTCTTTTTATACAGAATAATTTCGACATGTTCGGATCGTTGTTCTTTAAATGCATTTTCTAATGTTGTTATAATTGACTTATCTGTTTGTGGTCCATGAAGAAATGGACATAGACCAGGTTTTTGCATGACTTCAATACGACCAAATTCAGTTAGATTTGTAAATCCATTACTAACATATACAATTGGAAAATCTAATATACGTGCATTAGTGAGTAGAAAACAGGAATCTATGAGAGATAAAAAAAAACAATGAAAAGAAGGATGAAATGAGAGATTTTTATTCTTATTTAATAATAATGATATTGTTTACTCTATTGAATTGAAAATAAACTTAGATTAGGCGTGAAAAATAGATTATTTAATTATTTGTGAAAAAAATAAACATTGGTTAGTTTTCGTAATTCACTTGACAAACAGAGATAAAACAATCATTTTCTGTTTTTGTGAAAAGATAAATTGTCAGAAATAATGCAAATGAAACTATAATACCTTTTATTGATTAATTGTAAACCACCGATAATTTCTGGTCAACTATTTATGTGTTAAATGAATGAATATGCGAAAATAGCACTCAATATCTTGATGGATAGGGCGTCAGAGTTCTAAAGTGATAGATACTGAGTTTTAGACTCATTTTGAAGACCATCAGAGGGCTAAATAGAGTATATCAAACACTCAAGTACAGTAGCAACAATCCTGGAGAGCACAAGAAGAGTTCTATAAGGAAATTATCCAAGAAAGCTAAATCCTACTTCGGAACTCTCAATACACGAGAAACTAGAAAGATATGGTCTTTATATATTCTGCTATAATGACTGCTTGTACGACTTCACCAAAAGATGCCTGGCGATACAATTCACTATGGCAAATACTACAGAAACCGGGTAACGGATCATCCTACTAAATGTAGAAACATTGGATTTGAACAAATAATATGGAAGCCCTTTGGAGTAGACGGCAGTCACACAAATGCCATCACCTCATCCTAGTTTATTTATAACGACAATAGATGCTACTTGATCGGCTGTATTATACTGAGCAATGTCGACACCTCTTCGCTTATATGAACATAAACTAACAATGGAGCGACATAAAGCGTTATCAGTGTCATAGATTTATGAAGACATCACAGACATTTCAAAATTCTAAGAGTCGCAACAAATTTCAGCTGAACCAAAAATCATTGGATACTTAAACAAAGATCTGACCTATTAAGCTGTTACAAAGATGTTAGTTAACCACATAATCAGAAGTTAACTGAATTAAATAGTCAACAAGAATATAATGACGACTGATGATGTCAAGCATTTTTAAACAAGGCTGTCAGGTTGAAATGATTTATCGTTTGTGTAATAATCAAGAAGCTTACCTCTATATGAAACAAGTACAGATTATGCCTCTTCGAAGGATAATCAAATGTTCACAGTTAAACACTCTAGTTTAGAAAGCACACTGGGGCTAAAAGCATCTATCTGATTTACAAATCTTCGCCTTCATAAAAACATACTGACTGAATCGAAAAATCATTTTGTCCTGTTCGAGAAACTATCCTACAGCATACTGTTTTATTTTCTTTCTCTGCTGTATTGTAACAAAAATCAACAGAAAGCTTACTTCTTTGGCTAACAAACTTATCTTTAGTTCAATCATTGCAAACTGACAGTCAGTTTTATTTCCTTGCAATATACCTATTATATAATATTTGATTCTTATCAATACCAGTATAATGACAAGATATAAACAAAATAAATTAAGTAGGCTGTATAGTAGAAATATCAATGCATTTGATTTTTTTTCAAAAATATTTCCCTAAATTCTCTTCAAAACTAGTACTGACAATAATGTGTATAAACGTAGCTATGGTAATAGTAACCAGTTATATATATATATATTTTCTATGAAGATATACAATATATGTATATATATATGTATATGTATATTTATATTTGAACGAACTGCTGTGCCATGAATGAATCACATTGTTTTGGTTGTTGTTTATTTAAAGATTTTTTGTTCATCTTTAGATTGTACAAATTTTTATTCTTGACAAAAAAGAGCCTTTTTGATTTCTTTTATATTTTCAATGAATAAATTTATAGTGAAATGGCCGATTACTATTGTTTTTAAACAAAACAAAATCCATTGATAGACTGAATAGAAATGTAATTTCCGGTTTAACATATTATTGTCCTGTGAAGATATTATTGTAAAAATATCTGTAAAGTAATATGATAATGAGGTGTTAAGGATATCAGTAAAACTGGTGCATAGATATTTAAAACAGGAATAACAAACTATACAGAATATGAAAAAATATATGAATCAATCTAACCCATTGGCTAAAACTATTTTATGTGTAAAAGTTTATTTTTCTCTTTGTTGTTGATATTTAGGGATGATTTCAATCACTTTCTTTTAATACACATTCCTCCAGAGTGAATTGTCTCAATATTATTTTTAGACCATAGGTATTTTTAAGAACCGTTTAATATTGACTTGCGATGGGATCCTGGTCCCATAGTTTATCGCTGCAGATGAAATCGAATTCGCCTCTGTTGTGCAAACCAGGAGTTGTTTAATCTTGTTAACTAAGCAAACAGTACGTTGTCTACTTGAAGTGAAAGAAATTGAATCCTGGTTTGATTATGAGCATCAACGATGTAGTGAAGGTGCATCCATCTGAAGCGTTTCAATTAGGAGAAAGCTGGAGTTTGGAATGCAACTTTAAGCCACTATCAAACTTGGTTTCATGAAAATTTTTGTTGAACTGTGTGATGTGGACTCTACTACTAATAATTATTATATTATTATATTATTATTATATTATCACTTTTATTCTAAGTTATTTAAATTCTTAAAAAATAGCATAGATCAAGGAAAGACATAAACTCAATTTTTATAATATCCTAGAATGTTCAGTAATTATCACGATTCAGATACTACATAAACTAATATAAAAGTGAGTTTGACCACAGACTGCAATTTATCAAACCTTCTGGAGTATATCTGTTTCCACTTTCTGTTTTGACAGCATTATCAATTTTGATTTATCTAAAAATTATAAATGACCAATAATAATTAAATTTGTGGACAGTTCTCTTCACAAACAGAACTATCAAGTGACCCAACATAAGTAATCTGTAATAATCTAGGGCTCGGCAAAGATGAGAAATCACTATATACATAAGATAGAACCCAAAAGTTACGGGACTCTGTAGTTCATATTCTGAACTTCATTCAACTCGTTGTGTATTATGATTTATGGGCGAGTGAGTGGCGATTACATTTCGAACGTTGTTCTGAATGGTTACCTACATGATGTCAATCAATGGCAAAAATTTTTTCTATCAAGTGAATATTTCCATTTGATCTAACCAAGCTTCAATAACACAGACACTCAAATGATTAATTTAATCACTAAAAGTTTCAAATATAATCTATGTCAAATAATAATACAAACAATTTTATTTAAAAAACGATGTTTTAATTTTTTTATCAGGAAAATATTGAATAAAATGATGTGCTGAATTCAGCATTGATACAGGTCATCAGGAAGTTATGTTATGTACAAGTAAAGATTAGTTTAAAAACATCCGTTGGCATTAGAAGAACCATATGAGCAAATTTTAATGCAAAAGATTTACAAAATAAATGTACTGTTACTCTTGATACTAAAACAAAAATGTAGGTCGCAATATATATATATATATATATATATATATATATATATATAGGTTTTTAAACATTTTATTGGATTTTATTTGCCATTTATTACCATTCATTTCTAGCCATTAGAGATGACGACAAATTATAAACGAAACTGTAAAATAAATAGAATTCGTCATCACTGTATATTATATGAATGAATATTTTAGGTAATCTTGAAAACGTTTTGTCAGAGATTCAGAAACTACTGTTGAATGTTTAAGTATGTTTCCTGACAATATTTGAAAGTTACAGATTCTATACAGGATAGTAATACAAAAAGTCTTTAAAAAACAACAAAATATTTGGTCTATGTTACATTATTATCAATGCTATTTTAATTGTTATTAGACAGCTATGAATCTACATTTTGTAGTATTGCTGGTACTCACGATAAATAACTTGTGATATCATCTTGTCTATAAGGATAGAATAGAATATATCAATTAGGTTGTGAGGAATTTTTTTACAGTCTGAATTGTCTATTGGTAACACCACAGTTACAGGCCAATCTTTAAATCCTAATGAAAATAATTAATTCATTCTTTCAGCTATAACGTAGAACATAATACGTACGCACATCAGTTCATCTTACCAAACCATATTGGTACAGAGAGATGGAACTAATAGTACAAATCCCATGGTGGTTAAGGGAGTACTAGAAGTAGTGGTAAACATCAGGGATTGATATCATTCGAGAAGGATGATCCAATGAAATAAGTTTAAAAAGTAATGAGTAATTCAGAAAATTAAAATTCGAGAGAAAACACGGAATGAATGCACCTGCGTAGAATATTTTGTTACCTTTCCTCATTCAGTTAACATCGAAATTAGTGCACCATGATGTCTATTCGTAGCAGGTAATTAGCTTCAACAAGTAATGGTCAGTATTCACTGACTTAATTGGATCATTGTCATAATTTATGAGAAAATTCACTTTTTTTATCATTACTCAAGTACTGAATGCTTGTAATTCAATAATATCATCTAAACAATCCATATATTAAAAGAGGCTGAATAAAATCTTGTCTATAACATGAACAACCAGAAGTTTGTACATTTCGAAAAAATAATCATAGTAAGCATTCCTTCATATAGCAATTATTTCACAAATCAATTTTTTTTCATATCTTACATTTATTTTTCTAATTATCTCCTAGTTAGTACTATTCATTAATTTCCTAAAAAAGGTTTATCAACACATATCATTTATAATTAATAAATTTAATTAATTTAATTGTTGCATACAGATAATGAAAAATAAATGTATTTAGATTAGAATCAACCGAGTGAGTTTATATTTTTTGTTCTATTTATTTTTTCGTTGTTATTGTTGTTGAATAAATCATCAAGTTCAATTATTTTGTTTTATACTTCATTTCAATTCTAATGTTATTATGTTTTTAATATTTTTATTTTTTTAAAAAAAAAAATAAATACGTATACACGATAAATGAATTATTAAATTGCTTATAATATTTACTAATCTGAGTGATAGATAGACTACTCAATAATTAAATAA